CCTTTCCCTGCAAAGTAATCTCAGTCTGTTTTTCGATCCATACTTTTCGTGGACATCATCTACTGGTTCTTGTAAAGTTATCCAATTAGAGTAGTCAGACAGATTTATTTTCCTGTACAATGTGATGTTTGCTAAAACAAGTTGAAGTAGAGTTGGTATGCATTGCAGTAGTATCATAAGCAAACAAGCTCAGTCCACTTTGGGTTTTGATATTTTTATGAGGCCTTTATTAGTGAGGCCTTAGACTACCTACATATTGTGATTATATGGAATGAAGCAATTGGGGTTTAATTCTACAGGTTCAATTATACTCTAAACTTGTGCTTACGGGAGGTCATCCAATCGATTCAATATTTCCTCTGCAAAAGAATATAGTTTCAGTTGGAAAGAAATCTGTAAGAAGATAAAATATTGAGAAAAACAATTCACTCATGGCCTTAGGCCATACATATTCTCTGGTGGGAGGAAAAGCCAGGCTTGCAGTTTTGGGGATTTAAGAGTTCATTACACTTGGAGAGAATCGATTGCACTGGACATCATCCAAGTTCCACGCAAGTCGAAACACTCGGTGAATTACTCTTGGAGTTAGTTATAAGTAGAATAATGATTAACTCAGTGAGGTTTTGACAGAGAGAAGATTACCAAAATGTTGGAGTTTTCACGTGCAGTGGCTTCTGAACAGCATAATTAATTGTGAAGTCGGATAAACATCTGACACAATATGAACCACTGTGTAGGAGATACGGTGGGATAGAGAAGCGCATGATCATGATCAGGCATTGATATCTCAAGGTCCTGTGAGTTGCATTTTCAAGAATGTGAGATGATCATTAGTTCCCTCTAATTACTTCCCATAGACAGATTATCATAACCACATGTTGAAAAGATTCGAGAATGACGAGCGAACTATTACGCAGTAAGATCACAAATTGGATGAGAAGCCGTAGAAGCGTGAAACCATCGTTTCCGGGTAACATTATCATGACGACGAAATACTGTGAGATTTTAACACGGAAACTATCATTCCTTCATGTATACATCAATTTATTGTCTAATTCTCTAAATTATACAATGAGCTAAAGAATGTGATATCCCTATGTTTGATATGATATAGTCTGTGCACCTTTCTAGTCGTGTCATAGTTGATTTCCATTGCTACGAATAGTTTCAAAGCTGCAGGTGCAAATGTACTTATATGTTTGTAAACCTTGGATGATTCTATTCCACTCATCGTTGACCTAAGAGTATCCATGTATTCAAAAAACTTATTTCATCATGATCCATATTGTGAATCATCTAGGTTATATCAAGCATACAATAATATATTTTTAAAAATAATTTATGAAATAAAAATAAAAATAAAAATTAGATTAAAAGAACGTGAATAAAAAATCAACAATTGACCGATTGATCAATTGTTCCACATAAGATTCAAATTAAGTATGTGCAAACAATATTTTGTTTTGATCTATGTTATCACTAAAATTTGGCAAAATGTAAAGCTAGGATAACATTTATATTTAGCAAGATAATATAACATATAATCATGAGTTTGTAACTTTCAAAATACATTATGAACCCAATCATGTACTCACATTTGAAATTAACCTTAGAAATGACAAAATATTTGAATTAGCTACTAGCTGAATAGTTAAAAGCACAAAAAATGATGAAAAGCTCCATAGTTTAGATGAAATAACAGTAAGTTTTTTTAGTCTAGCCAGAATTTAATTGTTTGAATTAGGAGGATCTCTTCTCGGAAAAAGTAGTATAAGGATGAATTCAAAGGACTTGCAAAAATTTTACAGTGAAAATGTACTTTGATCTCTCAAAACGAGAAGAAATTTATCCAACATCAATAGCTCAGTAATGATGAGTTTGATTCTATGGCTCGAAACTTTTGGAAGAATATTTGACAAGTCTGATAGAAACAATAAGCGAAAGTGGAGAAGGAAAAGGCGTCGTTGAGGCTAGCGGTAGTGATAGTACGAACGAGGATGTAGTGCACAAGGCGCAGAGGTTGATGAAGCGGATAGGGATTAATTGCCATGCTTCCAAAACTTGTTTGATGACTCGTTGGCGTCAATTTTGAAACAAGAAAAATTAAAATATTATCTGGCAAAAATTCAATCGTTCACAAACAACTCTCAACCTTTCATACAATTAGCCACCTTATGAATATAATATGAGAAGATGACTTTTTTGAGCAAATTTACTCCAAATTTCTTGTTGACAGCGGACATTCAACTCATATCCACGTTGCTGTTATTACCAGATTCACTCGAGCTTTTTTATCTTGTTGGTTGTATATGCATGTGCAGTACACTCAACTCTTTTCAGGATCAAATATTTTTTAATATCAAATAATGGATCATAGAAGAAGTGTCTAAGTCTAGTGATCTGCGGAATGGGATTTTAATAGGAAGTAGTTTGGCAAACTCCGGCAAAAAATCTTTAGAGATGATGAATCATGAGATTTTGAGATTTTATGTAACATATATTTTGGCAGTCCGGTTACAAATGTATTACGTGGTTGAAGATGTCCTAACCATTGATATGATGTTGAAGATGTCCTAACAATTGATATGATGATCAAGCTTATGCATTATTTGAAAATCTGCCCCCTTGATGAGATTAATGTGAAAATTGGACTGTATGTAAAAGTCAAACGGAAAGATGAAGGAGGAGTCGCGGAGGAAAAAGATGGCAGGACTATTGTTAAAGCTTCCAAGATGGAAAAACTCATGAAACTAACAAGGACGGTAGAGTCCGACGAGTACGTAGAGGTAGATGAATTTAAAAGACAGAGCAAAGACAAACAAAAATATTTAAAGCAAAGAGTAATAGTTAGCGGAGAGTGGTTTGAACACTCTTGTTTGTCCAGAAAGAAAGATGGACATGAGAGTAGGGCAAAGACTTTGAAGCGGAGGAATGACATTTGTGATCGAGGAGGCGGTAGAGAAGGACAGATTGGAAGGAGTGGTGATGGAGGTGTTCAAACATCATCTACAGGTGATGTTCGAGTTGATGAATTGAAGTAACAATAATCTTGAAAGGTGCAGAATTAGGTAAAGAAGGAGGTTCAAAGGAGTTTAAGTCATCGCAGGAAGCCGTGAAAGATGATGATGAGTCAACATCGTGTGTCATGATTGGTAAGATGGATATGGAAAGAATAATAAGAATAGTTGCAAGGGTGGCGGAGGCAGAAGCAAGGGCTTCATTTGCGCCAACAGAGGTGATCAAAGCTCTTGAAGACTCAGCAACTGAGCTTGTCAAGTTGATATAAAAAAATAAAATAAGGATCAACACTATTTGGAAAATACTTATGCAAAAGCTTCTTATTGCAAATTTTTACGTGTTTAACTAGCATTCTAAAACCATTTGTAGGTAAAGATCAACATATAAAATGACATACATTCCAAAAAATGTCAAGAAATAAGTAGTTCATTCCAACAAGCTATGTACATGGATCAAATAAAATTATTCAGTGAAACCCTATATAATGTTACTATAAACTATGCGGATTATTTTTATAAAAAATTGAGTATATAATCTATACAATCATTATTAAACTAACTAAAAATTAACCAGTAGCTTAGTAAACTGCTAACACCAATAAACTTGGTGAGTTAATTACAAATGCAATTATAAAGTTTCTAGTAACTTAATTCATACATACTTAAATCTATTAAAACTCCCCACGTGCAATGGTTGGATCCCATTGCAATTAAAGAGGTTTCATCTGCATTCAGATTCCAAGAAAACCAGCAAGGGATTTTGGTGATAGAGATAATTTTTGACGTAGTAATGACAAGACCATCCAAAATACGCCCAGTTCTCTAATTTCTTCCAGTCTTCCAGCTTTTATCTCTTTGGCAAACTTGTGCCCCATCGACTCATTGACACTTTCCTGTCACACACACATGCAAAAACAAGGCCATTTTATGAGGGGCATTTTCGAAGGGAGAGGTGGAGGAGAGACGCACCCGGAGAAAGGCACGGAACACTGGCGGGAGTGTATGCGAGTTCATCGTGACATGGACTTCCGACGAGATTCAGTCAATCAGCAAGTCAGTCAGTGGGGCGGTCGGTCGGTCATTCATTCACGAGTTGACAGCTAATTTGGATTCTGGATAATTACCGAGAGCTATAAAGCACATGAGACATATGGGCTATCTCGTGCACCAGGGGGCCTGCTTTTCCAGCAATCCGTACGAGCTCAGCTCGGAAATCAGAGCTTTCGAGTCCAGACACGAGCCCGACACAAAGGCAGGGCAAGGCAAGGGGAGGCATGGCATGGCATGGCAGTGCAGGGCCCGCAGAGCAGGCCTGGGCTGGCTACTGACTCCTATGGTGGTCATCACATCTCGCTTTCTCTCGTCGCCGTACTCTCCTCTTGTGTCGAAAAAGGCACGACTTGGCAGGTGATGCTAGCATACGCCAGCTCTAGGCCAGCTGGTACTGTACTCGAAGATGCAGTACAGTATACTGCTCTGGACGCGATTGAGCAGTCATTGCTCTCGGATATGGACGAGCGTATCTATGGCAGCGGCTGCTGGCCCCGAACTCTTCGGCACAAGGCCCAACGACAGCACTTCATATCATTGCGAAGGTGTGAATCATTTGGAGGGAATGAACGAGGACATGATGGCGACGAGGAGGACGAGCCTCTTCCATGTCGTGTCAAGTGTGGCATGTGCGACAGCGTGAAGTTATAGGCCAACGAACTCCGGAGTTAAGGCTGTAGGCCTCACTTCACATATCTTCTGCGAATCACTCAGGGCCGAAACCCCGATCCTTTGAAGCAACTCAGACTTGTTTCGTACTCTTCAAAGGCTGGATTTCATTGACCGACTTATCATGAAGGAGCCTTGCGTTGACGACTCCCGAGTGACTGTGACTTGACTGCGACTACATGCTACCTGTATTCGTCATGATCAGACTAACTACTGTCGTTGAATCAAACCACAATCGGTACGGAACTTTGAACTTCTACAACGTGCACGTAATTGCAGGCTTTTTTTTTTATTGATATTTACCACAATGTCGTGGTGTTTCGAACAAGACTGTCGGATGAATTTCCTCAAAGAATAGGCAGGGGCAGTACATTCATGAAAAATGAAGGTGACTAACATCTCTTGTAGAACACAAGGCTGGGATGTCATTCCTGAAGGAACGTAGAGGGAACGACGACTCCAGGTCTGCGTCGGGCCCCGCCTTAAGTTGCAAGGCGCTCAAATGACCTTGTACAACGAGTTGTCATATGGTAAAGGGTAGTCATATTGAGTGAAATTTAGGCATGTCGGAGATGGCGAAGTCCTAGAAGAACTCAAAATATAGACAGTTGCAGGGTCATCCAGTTGCAACAAGTGAAGTGAGGCCGAGGAAGGATTGACGTATGCACAGGCAGGATATAAACATTGATTAGCCTGAGGAAAACATGGTAAACGGGTCGTGCTTGGACCCAGAGGAAGTCGTGTTGAAGCAAGCTGGTCATTTGTTGGGTCATTACAAGTGCACTACGACGGCAGTTTTCGTGAGGCATGAGGATGGGTCTATCTCCTGCATGGCCATTTGCATTCGAGAAACCCGCTCCCACCCCATTGGCTTCGAGCCAGAGACCCTACAAACGGTGACGAAGTCCAACATCTGGCCAAAAATTTTAAACATCTCCACTCCAAATATCTTCTCTTCGTCTGCTACAAATATTGCATTCCAATCGAGGGGGGCATCCGGATGCTGCGAAACCTTGACCCAGCCTACAAAACGACAAGCAAGTTTAGAAGACACAATGTAAGCAAAACGAGGACAGTAAGTCAATATGGAAAGAAGATCTGGAGCCAAATTTACAGAAAGAGGCAGATGCTCATGAAGGACCTCAACTAGCAGACTCCATAAATGACAACACAAATAGTACCATACCTATAAAGGTTGGTTCCTGATAAAGCTCCCAGATTTTCCTGGTGGCCATCTCATGACCACCTTCCGCAACAACTCCCCATGCAACGCCGAGAAGAAAGACACGGTCCTTACAAGAGACAAGCTTGGGTGTGTAATCCAGCAATCGAGCAGGACCATGAGAAACTTGGATAGAATGCCAATACTCATGTTCTAGATCGTATGCTGCGAGTTTGTTACTCTGGGAGTAGACGTAGAAGGAATTCTTGCAGACAACCCCGGCACATGGCGTTCCATGGTCTGCTGGTAAACTAGCAATTTCCCTCCATCGATCAGTTACAGGATCATATATTTCGGCGGAGTCCAGTTGTTCAGTCCATTTTCCATTGCCACCCACTGCAATCAGGCCAAACCTTTTCTGCTCCTTCGCTACCCTGTCCCGTCCGTGGACCCTCGAATTTCTCCAACTTGTGTCTAAAGTGTCATCGCAAATCCTAGCTCGGCTCTCCCAGTTCCCAGAAAATCCGAGTTCATTCCTCTCTCCTCTGTCCTCTGCTCCAAACACTGCCAGTTCGCCTCCACGCCGTGAGCCCCTCTCCGAGACTCTTCTTCTCGCTAAAGAATGTAGTTCAATGTAAGGATCGGAGACCCTGCTCAAGTGCCCACGTCCAACTCGATGTCCAATTTCTCGTCCCGAGCCTTCATCTGTCCGCTTCTCTCTCTGTTTAAAGACACCGACTACCGGCGATGCGCGTTCAGTCGTCATCGGACACACCTTTCTCCAATACCCGGTCAGAGGGGTGTACACCTGAACAGTTTTGAGTGTCCTCACGGAGCTTTTGTCGCTTCTGGTAGATCCACTTGATGAATTCGTAGAACAACCACCGATGACATAAATTGCACTGTTTATCGCAGTTACGGAGTACAGAAGTCGGCCAGTAAGAGTCTCTGCCTTTATCGTATGCCATGTGTTTGAAACTGGATCCAAAGCCTGGATCTGCCCAAGACAGACACCGTCTCGAGAGAGCCCGAACAAGAAGAGCCAGGGCTCTTGAGAGCGTATGCGTTCTCTCATTTGAAGAAAATGAGGGGACAGAGATAGCGACCTCCATTTCTTACACACTGCCCTGGCCCTCATGAGAGAAACGAAGGGAGTCCAAGCCAGGCACATCTCTAGAAGGTCATCCGGCAGAGCCGGTGGGCCCTCTTCCCTTACCATCACGTTTCCCGTGTCTGTCTTCGAGTCCTCTGCTGGTGTGACGATCTCCTCCGCCTCTTTTCTGCCCTTCTCTTTGGACCTCCACATCCTCGGACCAGTGCATCCAAAGCATCCCTCCACCTTGCTACTTCCTTCATTCTTTTGCCGAGACTCTCCAGTCTCCTCCTCTTCCTCCGATTCTTGACGAATAAGAGGTTGACGTGTTAAACTTCTCTTTCCTTTGCCTGTCACCCAAGACGCAATGTTGACCCTGCCTACTTTTCTGTTAAAGCTCCATCGCTTATCTGTCTTGCCCTCAACCTGTAAGCTTGCATTTGCCTTCTCTGCGGCGTCCTCTTTACCTTCCGCTTTACCACAATCTGTACAAGCTACACGGTCTTTCGTCTTTACGTCTTCACTATCTTTCAGTAGAAATCTGCTCCGAGCGATTTTGCACCATCGCCCTGTTCCTACAAGGACCCAATTTTGGGCCAAATGGCGCAGTCCCTTCTTCTCCCTTCGCACCATTTTACGGAGGTCAAAATGCTCTCCACCATGTCCCTCACCACTGTCAATGTCTTTCAAAAATTTGGTACGCGAGTCCCTAAATTTCGGCCTCAGGACTAGGCACCTTCTTCTAAGCCTAAGTCTAAACCTGCCCCAAAACTTGAATGGAGTCCCGGCATTGGGGACCCTCCCCTTCGATAATCTAATCTGTACCATCTTTACAATATTCAACCTCAGCTTCTGTTGCTCCTCTCGGGGTATCTGCCCGAATTTTTGCCAAAAGTTCGTTGACAGACAAGCTCAGCTCACGAAGTCCTGTTAGCAGACTACGGCATCAGAGGAATCGCTGTATGAAAGAATCGCCGAATATGTGGCACCGCAAGTGCATAAATGAAACAATGTCAAAAGCTACAGAGAAGACATATTCGATGAAACACTTGATTTCACGATGAAGTAGCATACCAGAAATCAAACAAAGAATTATTTGAAACAGATATGACCTTGTCGTGGTTATAAGCAAATGTTACTGACAAGGGTTTTAGCAATTGAGCAAATGTTCGAAAATCTCAGAATTACATGAAGACAGATCTAACACCATCTAATTCCACAGAACCCATTTCAAATCAACGTAGGCTTGTCACATATCAGAGAACTAATAAGCGGAGGGAGTTTAGAGGACAAGAATCATGTAAAAACCCGATATTACGGACAAGGGGTTACGGATCTCCAGTATTCATATAATAACTGCATACGACACTTATATTTTGTCCAACAGCTGTCAACAACAGAGCTAGGACCTGCGCGGAGACAAGTAGCAGTACTTTATGGTTTCTACCCAGATGTACAGAAGTCATTCACGAGTAATCGTAATCAGGCGCGTGAAATGGACCCCACGCACGCTGTGCCGAAACCCCCAGATAAGTGAACAACGAGCTTAGATGGAGGAGCCAGGTAATGGTCGAACAAAGGACAGAAACACATAAAACATGTAATCTTTGACAGGCATCTCTCCAAACACATCGCGGGAAACAAAGGGCAGTAACAGCCGACATTAATCTAAGAATTATTGAACATTGAGTCAAATGAAACTTAAGAGACGAAGTTTGGAGCTCGATCTCCATGCTTTCAAGGATGTCAAGCTTCGCACCAGCGGCACAGCAGAATCATAGGAGAGGATCGGGTATTGAACCCAGCACGATAATCAAATTGGAAGTGTTTTCTACATTCCTACAGTAGGAGACAGGAAAAGGTATTCCCGACCGCGAATATACTGTGAACGTGTGCTCATAGAAGGAGAAAACGGTAGGCCTACCTGCTACATGGCGCAGAGGCTGCAACTTCGACTCAGCAGCGCTCACGAGTCGTGCAATATGTCAGCTCGAGGAGAAACTGTTGGCGCCAACATGAAGAAATCGAACATGTAAAAGAAGCTTCACAAAAACCGCAACAGGTCCTGCTGCAACAGTTCGACGCGAGTCATCCTCACAACCGGCTTCCGATAAAAACCCACCGAACTCGATGTATCAAAGTGAGCTTTCGAGACAACCATTGGGTCCATCACCCAGTCTGAAAAAAGTAGAATGGAACGACGGACTGCAGACAATCCACAGGAAGCTGGCACGCCGCGGAAAACCCCGTCCTCGGAGTGGTAATGACGAAATTAAGCGCACTAATAAACACCCCAGGCAGCACCCTACGTTTCGCATGCTCCTCCCGCCTCCGTCTCAACACTGCCAGAGTAAACAACGAGGGAGAAGAACCAGATACTCCGAGCCCGAGGCACACCTGCTACACACAGTCCGAATTGTACGCCTCTCATCCTCGATACCGATGTTCGGAGGGAGGGAAGGCAGAAAGGCAGAGTGAGGTAGAGAGAGAGTCGTCAGCATTCACATCGAATCACGCTCGGGAAGCGGAAGCATGTAAGACGAGACGAGCGCACAATCCAGAGGCAGCCGCAGCAGCGGCACCGGCCTCGTGCTTTTCTTCTTCTCGCTCGTCCCGAGCGAAATGCGACGACGACGGCGACGCCGAGAGCAAAGAACAAGCAAAACAACAACGAAGTGGCTGTCGCATTCCTGCGCACTAAATTTACATCGCAGGATCGCGAGAAAACCGCGAGCCGGTCTCGCGCAGAGGGCGAAATCGAGAACACAAGCCTGACTTCGGGGGCGTCTTGATTCTCGTCCTCGTTTTGGAATCGTCTGCGTATTTACGCTACGCTCGCTGCGTCCATCGATCGATCGAGAGCCCTCGCATTATGAGCGTCGAGAGCTCTCTCTGCGACCTCCATAGCCACCTCCGCCGGGCCCGCACCTTCCCCCGCCCGCGCTCCCTCGCCTGAGAATGTCTGCCGCAAACCGCTCCCTGTGTTCCTCCGCCGGTCTCCTCCCGGTCGCCCCGCTCTCCGGCCCTTTCAAACCCTTCTCCTCGCCCACAATAAATTCCAAACCTCACCGGCGACTTTCCACTCTCTCCCCGTCAGAAGACCCACACGACAAGGCCCGAGATTAACCCTAGGAAACCCTCGACCGCCGATGATCCAACATCGACGGCTCAAACCCGCCGGGCTAACCCACGGACGTCGGAGGTGACCCGCTGGGCAAGTTGGACGCCAGGCAGGCTGCGGGGGGCGAGATCGGGAGCAGCCGGTGGACCGGTGGACGGGATTTGATTCGGGCCATCATGAGGCCTGCTCCACTACCCGTCACTGTCCTGATGCATTAGCGTTCCATGTTCGGGACGGGCGCACCGGCAGCCTTCGGTATTCATGGCGCTCCATTGCTCCGGTATGGGCCCTTGTGATGCGGTCCTCGGCCTTGTGCAGATTGCCTCCTCTTTGGGTAACCTCCGCCTTTATGTCCCTTCTGGCAGTCCCCGATCGGGACCGCGACGACAAACTAGTTTGTCGAGCCCTCAGGTTCCTCGGCCTTCGAGGGGCGTCCGGTCCTTCTTCCGTGGGCTCGCCCCTTCTCTGGGACGCGGTCCTTCGTCGGAAGAATCCATCCCGCGTCCCTTGTCTCTTGTCCCCGACCAATAAAACGGACCGCCGGGTAACTAGCAAGAGGGACGGCGTACCGGAAATGGGGGACCCATTTGGTGAATAAAAGTGAGTTCTAAGTGAAGTATCACAAGCGGCTTAGCATGTTCCATTTAAACAGGAAAATATCATGAATGTATGTGAAGCTAAACGAGTGACAAAAGGTTAGCTTCCAAAAATTTCATATTGGAAAAAATGTGATGCAACACCTGATATGTCCAGCTTATCAAATTTAACAAGCATATAATAAATGTTTGTATCTCGTTTGTCAAGTTTTTCCAGCATTGATAGTTACTCTACGTATAACATTGGCTAGTGATCAATAGAAATCAAGGGAAATATATGTATACATACACCTTACACTAAAGAAATTTTATCGTGATATCTGATAAGGTAATCTTCTATGCATTCTTTTCACTTTTTTTCAAATTTTCTTACTCATACACTTCAATAAAATGATAATATAAGAAAAATAAGCGTAAATAATATAATAATTGACAATATGAGTGTGTATTGGAGATTGGTAAGAGATTCAGGTTTGGATTTAGTGTAATGGCTCGCGGTATAATCTACTGGAGCAGTCATGAACTGCCAGCCTCGGAGAGCAGAGCGTGCTTTGGATCGGGCATGCTCAGAAGCTCGCTCTGATGATCTGCAGCGAAGGCTGATAAGTATAGAAATGTGGACAGGGGCGGCTTCCTCAAATGGTCGAGGTGACGCATTCGGGAGAGACAGAGAGAGAGTTTTGGCCCTCATGACTCTTGGCATACCATACACAGTATTGATTTGCTCAGTCCAGGCGTACGTACAGCGAGGCCCAAAGCCCAGATGTGGCAGCTCAAATGCACCTGCATCTCGTTGCCGCCCTCTTGCCCCATAAGGCTCTAAATTTGCTGATGCCAAGCCCGCAGAGGCAATGACATCCTCATGACGGCCCCGAGAGGAGAGGGTGCGAGAAGCTCAGACTGCCCTCTGCTCGGCTCGCTTGCATGGACAAATTCGATGCGTCCATGCACAGCCCAGATTTGCATTACAGTAATGTCCGCCTCATAGCGCAAGTGTATTGTACGTTGCATGAGCGAGGACAGCTATGTCATCAACTTTGGTATCACCATTGGGTCCAAAGTTGATGACATTATCTGTGACAGTCTCCCAGCCTTTTCCTTATCCCTCAGATGTGGGCAAGGGGCTCTTTTCGTCTCTTTATCACTCCCATGTCCAGATGACAGTTTGAAAGCTGACGCCCCAATGCTTGAGAATGAAATCAAGCCCCTTAGCGATCAAAGTCAAGGTCAAAGCTTTTTCGAAAAAGCCACCTTATTATTTCAGTGGACGCAGCACTGTTGGGTGGATGAACTCAATTTCACTCGCAGTATGTGCCAGGTTCTTTAGTACAGTATAGGCCCTCTTTTCTTGAAGCCTGCCGAATTCGCTATGATGACTTCAAATGCCATGAGCCTCTTTGCCCTCGGGAGCCAAATTCCATCCCATCTGGTACCATCTGGTTTGGCAAAATGTATTCAATACAGGGCCTTCCAACAAATAAGAAATGCGGGGAAAATAATAATATAGCACCGAGTGACTGGATAATTAGGAGGTAAAGTAATGGGCAACAGCTACAAGCCTATTAATCATGTGTCAGATTTCAACTTTCCATGAAGGACGACTGAAGGTAAAAGGCAAAAGGCTTGCATCTTACAGCATCTAGGACCGACCACGTGTTAAGACAATTGCGCTCCGCTCCAAATCATCTTCAATTCCTCGAACCACATGCACCTCACCTCAACTCGAATGTGCCTCACTGTGCTCCGAGGTACATGTATTGCATAGTACAAACGACGTGTTATTCGGCCATGCAGGTTCACTCGCCCCTGCAAAATTCAAACACGCCAATTCGTTGTGTAACGAAGCATCTCCGCACTGTTTCTCCTCGCCACTTCCTTCACCATTGTTTGTCTCGATTGCATTTTGTCTTAACTCCGACCCGCATTCTGAGCCTCGGACGGCAGTGACAGTGGAGCCCACTCGGCTTCGGCTCCCGCTTCCTGTATGCATGGATATGATCTTTTCCGAAGTCCGAAGGAATTACAATGGACGTGCCCGACCATTGTGCTATTTGCCCCGCGATAGATCGCACCCATGAGCAGTTGATTTCCCATCTACGCTCTGAAAATAGAAAGGAAGATCGGAAAAAGGTCAGCAGTGAGCTAGAACTTGTGCAGCGCGCTCATTCACTGTAAGGTCTTTGATCATTCATTGCAGTAAATCTATATGCTGAAGATTTATGAAAGCTGAATGAGACAGCTGCAGTTTAGGTGGATTGTGTCGAGAGAGCGCATTTGGTCGATTCGTATTTTAGATAATTTTAGTGGTAGCATAATAAGTGTGCACGATATGGCCAGAAAAATATGAAGACTTGTGACTTGTTCTGGATATTGTGAGGTTTGACCCATTTTCACTCATGTAAAATCGACCTGATAAGTGTAGAATCCGGTGAACACATTTTTGGTTTCTATCGACGGCTTGTTATCAGAAGTCAGCCTCCACAAAATGGAATTTTTTAATGAGATCTGTTGCAAGTTGAAGTGATACTCATGATGAAGATCCATCCACTCTATTGGACTGCAAATCTGGAATTTGAATGGACTGAGAAGAGTTTGGACTCCAAGCTTTGTTCAACCACTTGGGCACTGCCATGCTTACCAGCTACGACTTGAACGCGGAAACCCCTCGGTGTAGACAGCTACCTCGAAAGGCATGTTGGAATGTGAGTCAAACGCCTGATTCATTTATCTGCTGGCTGTAGTGCTTCTCAATCTGTAGCATCATTCACCTTATTTGTAGTATGAACCTTTCCCACATTTTAACCATTATCCTTTTCACCCGTTGGCCTTGAGACCTATAGTAGTATGCAGGATATCATACTCGTTGACATTCAGAATAGACGTCGAAGATTGCGGCCTAGTATAACAGTTTGTGTGCTCTTTGGGCTACACCAGTGTCACCTCCATTGGTCAAGAGTTGTTGTGTGATGTCTAAGAGGACACAATCCTTAAACATGTGTAAATCAGGTTTTGTACCACAACTGATCATATATAAAATCCATAGATGAAGGTCAAATTAGAGGGTCCTTCAATCTCCTCTAAAGCACATCCACCTCCAGAAGTTCCACCTGCACGGATGCCCCTTTGATCTTCGTACGGACTTTATCGGATACCTGTTCCAAGGCACGGATCTAATATATCTGAGCTCATGGTAAATCACACGTACACACAAAACGGCATGTTTATCCACTTCACTTCTCAGAGCAAGCAGACACCAACTCTTATCCAACACCTTAATTTGATGCACTTGGTCTCTAATCATTGTTAAAACGTTTTCCTCTAACCAGTGTAGTCTGGTATCGCAAGGACTGGCGCTGATTGCAATCGTATATACAAATTTATGTCTCACGTCCTTAACTCAGCTCGGTCAGGCAGTATCTGTTGTGTCAAACAATGTGCCCTTCCTATTTTGGGTCTTGAAAACAAGAATATATTTAACTACAAAATTTCAAGCATACAAGTTGTTTATTTGACAATATATACTTGGATTTGAATATACAACACTGCCATAACTTATGACGTCTCGATTATTGGGCAAATTATAATAGTCATTAGACATTGTTCAGTCAGGTGCTCCACATTATACCAACTTTTGTGCACTTTCACCTCTTGAAAAATTGAAGGCAGCAGTTCAAGACTTTCACTGAACACAAAACAAAATAAAGAAGTCCTTAATTTCTTGTGAGAAATGGGAATCTTATGCTTCTGAACAACAAGGTATTGCTGATGCACTACTTCAGGAAGTTGTTGTTCATCTGTTCAATGGTTTTCCCTGTGTATGGGTCAGAATAGGAAGAAGAATGATTTGTATGCCATTGATATTCGCCCCGGCCTAAGATAGATATTTAATAAAGGAGAGAAAGTGAGGCGCTTCATTAAGTCCCAGATAGAAAAATTACCTGTATCAAAGGTCCTGAATAGTCTTATGTTTGGATGGCGGAATCCTTGGGAGTTGAGTTTAATCAAAAGTTTAAAAGGTTTAGATCTAAGAGGAGATTCAAGCACGAATAAGAATGTTCCTTGTGTCTATGGATGCGCCATACTGCAAATCTTTCAGTCATTATAGATATATCAAGGTGATTTAGGCATGAAAATGCCATTGGGATGACAGCATCGGAGGTGGGCATGTACACGCCCCTTCTATGTTCCTTCTTTCTTTGATGTATTTTTCCTACAGCTAGTTCTCCTTCGAAAAGGAATGCTTGAAATTTTAAACATTTTTTTTTTAATGTATCATTCTGACACGATTGCTTAACCTTTATTACCCCACAGGTTTTCTCCATGCAATTTTTGTGGCAAATCTTTTCTGAAAACGGCCATTCCCGTCAATTGTATTTTTGGACTGTTTTGAAACCACTTAGTGAGTAATATTACGTCGTCAAGATTAAGTCACGGAAAATCACATCATACCAAGCAAAACCGCTGTTGCTTTCCAAATCTAACTCCACTAACCCACATAGGAAAGATATTTAATATAACTCCAAATTTCAGAAATCCCCTATTATTTACAAATTTTCGATATTCCCGAACATGCGAACCAGAACCCGAAATAGAACTGGAACCGAGAACAGGAAAGTTGAAGAATTTGGTTCGTCCCAAAAATATAATACCATGTTAATATTAATATATTAAGGGGGGCAACGGCGGTCGTGTGATGCTCCATTGGCGCATTCTGAAGTGGGATCCGATGCGGCTCGCCCTTAACTCCAAGAATGTGGTCCAACAGTGAACGACATCATTCAGATCTTCGTTCCTTCTGTTCGTCTTAAAAATAGTTGTGCCGAGAGAATTAAGAATGCTTTCCTTGACTGTCTGTCGGGCATGTCCTCAAACGTCACACTCGTACGACCGAAACGATCGGCCGCGCATGCAACCCATCGGCAGCCCAGCGATCCCGTCGATCGCCCTCTGCTTGTTTTTTTGGACCAAGACGAAAAATCTTCATCGTGTGAGTTTTGCAGATACCACCTCCGAACTAAATTAAAGAAGTAGATTCGTATGCAACACATCGGGAGTCACTGGCATAGGCTGCAGACTTAGAGCCTTTGCATTTTCTAAAACTTTGAAACTGCCGTCAACCCATAAATTGCTTTAATCAACAGTTCAGAACCTGAATAATCTGATACGTTTTAGTTCTTGAGTAAACCTTAACTTTGGAATTATTGATGAATAACTTGGTTAATGAAGTCCACAGCTTTCAAAGAAATAATAATTTAAGCTTGTAAATGAAAATGTATCAAATTTTAGTGACCTCGTGTGTATTCAGCAAAAAATGCACAGAGTGCATTTTTTGTGGGAGTAAAATCCTGATCTGCAATTCATCGAGGGTAAACAACAAATTGCCCTTGGGAGGTTGCAATAAGAGAAGATGAAATTTACTCATTTTTGCGGCTCGGAACTCGTGGAATTGATTTGCGCGCAGACATAGTTGTGGCTATAGATGCGGGGCTAGAGAAAAAGCCTGACAAATAATAAGGACAAAGGCATGGGCACAGTGGATAGTATTGCGCATAATCAATTTCCTTCAACAAAAGCTCGTTCCGACCGGCCACAAAGTTCTCGGCCTCTCGACCGACAAAGTAATACAGCGCCGGATTCTGTCCAGCCAGAGCTACGCAGTCTAGCCGTTAGAAATGCTGGAAACATGGCTAAGCGTGGTAGACGTAACATTCTCTCGGGGCGGAATCTAGCGTGGTCAAAAGTCGGGTCTCCACTTTGACCCCGCAACGAGGCGGTAGCAAGTTTCGAAGCTGGGGTTGACTGCAGCAGATTTAATTAATTAATTTAATTGGCCCCCTCTGTCCCCACCAGATTAATCAAAATCCGGATTTGAGAAAATGGTTCAAGTGCGAGATTTGTGGCTGCCTTGGAATTCGGATAGCCAGACAAGTACTTTTGGGCACGCAAGTATTTTTCTCACTGTTAAGGTGTGCTTTAATGAAGACTACAGTGGACCTTAGGCCGTGCTAAATGGTGGGGCTAAGTATCTCACAACAGCCAATTTTAGCACATCGGGCGGTGGTCTAATTTATGAGAAGATAATCTGAGCCTTGTGTACATGTTTTCTTCTTCCTTTCCAAGCATTAGATTTTTACTATGGCCTTCCCTCTTACTAAATTTTATCTTTTATTTAAGTTAGAAATATGCTCATTCGACGCTGATTTGAGCATTGTGAACATATCGGACGTCACTACCCACAACTCTCACCTTACAATGCCAAACAGAACATTGAGGCGAAGACTCACAAGATGCTAAGTTGTGGCCTTGTATAGGGAATCTCCTTGAGTCAAATCAGTCTAGCTGAGAATTATAAACGCTCAAATGCTTGTGGAAAATTGGGCTAAAAATGAGTGTTTTGACGAGGCCCTGGTTAGTGAGGGGCTGAGCTGCTACGCTTACAAAGACTGGTTGATGTGTTGGAACCGCTTGATGCTTGGAGATGTTAGAAGAGCTTATGCTCTCTACCATTTACCATTTATCTCTGCAGTTTGCAAGTTACCTCCGTGAAGAGAATGATAGAATAGTTTCAGCGAGTTGCTTGGACGCTGAAGAGAAACATTGCAATTTAAATTATTTTAGTGGGTTGTTGTCGATCAAGGCTTCCCTTCCCACCCAACGTGATCGTAGCATCAGTATTAAGACAGTAATCAATAGCGTTGACATTCTATCGTGGAATCAAAGTGATCCTTCACGCGTTTAAAACCGGGAGTAATACTCATGGACTTATTACCATTTGAGTAATAAGAGCACATCATGTTTTTAACTGGGTAGAATAGGAGAGGAATAAAAATATCGAACATTAAATATGATATGCATGAAACATATTGCTCTATCAAACAGTTATATGTGGTTTTGTGAGAAATGTATACAAGCCGCATTCATAACTTAATGGTCATATGGTGGAGGTTGTTTCTTGGTTTGAAATATAAATGTGTCTATATGATATATGCTACAGTCCTCTAAACTTCGTATTAAATGTCTCATGTTTTACATTTTATAATGAGCTTTTGCTCTTGTTGTACTCATAACAAAATCACTTGAATAGTAAATAACTTTACTCTGTTCGCAATCAAATTTTCAATTTTTTTAACAAGAATGCCACCTGGATTACATTAATAATGATTTTTTAATTTGATAAATTATAGATCAATTTCCAAAAAAATATGATCAAATGACCCATGTAGCACTTCGAAGGTTATCGTTATTGTATAAGTGAAAAAAAAAATTCGAAAATTAATGATAAGAAAAATCACGCTATATCTTAAGCTTCATCTAGAAATACTTATTTCTTATTTCTTTTAGAAAATTTAGATGTTCACTTGAATCGTATAGCTCTTTAATTATATTTAAAATATTGAAAATATGTATATGCGTGTTTAGTAAAAATTCTACCATGTTTTGAAATATTTATAAACTCATCATAATTCTACTTGACGCAAGGCATTTCATTATAAAATTTATATTAAAAAATTTTCAAATAGGATAAAAGTACAAATATATGAATCTACTGTAAATCATATTTAGATGTCTCCTATGGTGGAGTCTTTGCCAATCTAGGGAATTGGCCAGGCATACCCGTGGCTGCTGAAGTGCTGGCCGAGGCTCAGCAAAGACAAGTAGGAAATGAGTTTTAATATACTTAAACATATGCGTCTAAAATATCTGTATTTTCTCCAGATTTTTTCACACCCTCGAATTTACCTTTTTGAGCTGTTTGTAAATATTGTATGAAGGTTTTAGCGTTGTTAATTTTTAAATTTATTTTATATAAGCGTGTTGTAATTTACTATTTGATTATATTATAACATGAAAATGGGAGGGGCATTAGTGTTCGTGGATAAGTAGCAACTATCAGTGAGGACTCTAATTAATTAACCCTAAGTGACAGATAACTAACGCTTACAAAAAAAAATTTGTCAGTACATGGTATTACAATGTACTGACAAACTTTTTTTGCAAAGATGTAGTAAAGACTATTACTTGCATAAGCTCTTTCGTAAATCAAATTTATATTCCCATCAATATAACTTAAAGCATAAGTTTAATTTCCAACGTAGACCGACATAGTTTTTTGTCATGAATACGACCTTGAGACTCCAAGTTATTCCAACACTATTTGTATGTAGAGTATTAAAATCCTCGTTCCAATCATATACAGATATTCCATCGTAAGGAATGAAAACCTGCACTGCACATTGTGATATATATCCACAACCTACAAGAATCTTGCCAATCTCATCAAAACTGTCCCATCACCTTGCAAGAGCGTCTCTAGTACTTCCTCAGAATGGTAATGAGGCTTGAGGGAGAAAAGCTTCAATATTCGCACCTAAAATTAGAGATTTTTCTTGTTCAAAAGTTCTGGCAAGAGTTTTCGTAAATTTGACAATTTGCTTGCTATATATTTCCTCCATGTATTTAGGAGATCGATAATTCAGTGTGATGTCCAATGTTTGAAGGTTTTGTATGTACATACAAACTTCCTCAGTCGATAATCGAAGATTTGCTCAAATGTAAAGTTTTAAGTGTCCACGATACACTGTACTTGTTGGGCGATGTATTCTGGGCAGATTGGGCAAAAAACACATAAGGATACATACAAGATTTCCCAAGGTAAGAATGGGGATGATGATTGTTATATTGTGGATGAAATGTGAAGACACCCCATAGTTAGGAGAATTCATTGGAATCCACATAGATCAAAGTTAGGCTTGGCTTTAAGCGAAATTTCAATGATAGACCCATAGAGCTAGTATCTTATCCAGTAGATAGATGAATGAACAAGACTTCCTCATGTCGAAGGAGCTATATCCAGCAACTGACACTAGGTTGGATTGGACAAAAGAACAAAACAAGGGATAATGGAATGTAACATTCTGAGAGCACTTGTACAAGGCATACGCAATCCCAGATCTCAACAGGTTGAGACTCACGAACAGCATGGGACCTGGAATTGTTTCATTGCAAGAAAAGAGAATCCCTATCGACCATGAATGTCTAAATCTTATACTTCTCAAACACAACAAGATCCAACCCTATTCTTCTCTTACAATCAAATAGCTACCCGTTTTGCTTGCTGAAGAACTACGTATCTCGTCTCGCTGCCGGTTGAGGACTCTTACCTTTTTTTCCGTTCCGATTTACAGAATCTGCCCAAAAAGATATGTTAGTGACTGATGGCATAATACTAAAACAAAGTTGACACTCAACAAAAGGATCTCACAAATTCAATTAAGCGCTGAATACTGAGAACATTATCGAAGCGGTATAGAAAGAGTGTGGTGACAAGAGCTTTAAACGCTCCATCTCTGATACCACAGCAAAAATCAACACTGAAGATATCAGCGCGCACTTAATTCTCACAGAGGAGCATCTAGTCAACAACTCGAAACACGACACAACTCGTTAAAGGAAAGACTCTATTGACAGCTGAAAGGTCTCCGTCAAGGATTCTAAATGGTCTTGCATTTCGATACATTTAGACATAGTTCACCTACTTACAAGTTATAAAGATATGAGAGAAGAGATTTCCCATCCTGACAATGATAGATATTAGAATCTGAGTATGTCATTGCTGTAAGTCTTGTACATACGACATACAAGCAGTCTCAACAACCATTCCATCCATAGGCCACAAATATGCCGAGTCAGTGCAAACCACAAGCTTCTATCAGGCAATTACGAAAAGCCTACAACATTGTCGAGGCTCATCAATGGCTAATAAACATCCTACGACTAAAACTATCCTGCTCATTCTCAAAGACGTTACAAGTAACAATTGGGTCACTCCCCAACCCAATGTTCTAAACACCATTCCTGATCTCTTCCGTTTGTACAAATGACATCACTCATGTATGTGATCAACATGGGGGATTATTCACGTGTCTAAAAAGCTAGGAATCGAACTGTCATCGGTCCCTGCTAATCACTCCGTCTTGAGGAAAAATGAGTTCATGAGCAAGGCTGTGATTTTCTCAGCCTTTTAGACTAGTCCCCATGTATGGATTCACTGTGCAGCTGGTGTTTCATTCCTATATGTACCAATTCCGTCACTGTCAGGAACCTCTCATGATTCTACAACAATAGTACTAGACTCACCTCCTCTCCTACTTGCAGCTACAGTAATTTAACAAACACGCTCAAAATTTAGCTACACATAATGGTCACGGTGTCCGAGGTGCTGTGCTTTGTGGTGTATTTGAGGGATGAGTGTGGGGATTTTCCGCACCCGGAGGACCAATGTCTGCTGAATTGGCTGATGCACCAGAGGTTATAGAGAACCTACCTGGCCCTGAGGTTCCAGCCCCTGAGCGAGAAGAAAATACCAATCCTGCATTTCCAGGCACCGGGCGAGCTCCGGGCAGAAGAGGACCTGTTGGTCGGGGCAACAATCCTGGCCCGGATGACAAGGGTGCAGAGCCAAGTATAGCAGGCCCAGACCCTGATCTACCTGACATGGGTGCATGTGCTGCACTTCCAACATTCCCATAAGGGCGTGTGGGCTGGGCGCCTGCTTGCCAGCTACCTGAAGCTGAACCACCAGAGGTTGTGGAGGTCCGTTGACTGGATACAGCTGCACTTGAACCTCCAATGGTAGAAACTGAAGGGCCAGGAGTGGAGTCCATCTGCCTTCGAGCATTGTCTGGCTGAGTTCGACCAGATCCACATGCAGCAGATTTTACAGGAGTTCCGCTTGAAGGTGCCGGAAGTGACCCAGACGCGGTTGCAGACGTCGAAGAAGCAGACACAACATCTCGGACGGGAGGCGAGTGATCAGAAGACGTAGATGGTGGTGCTGCTGTTGTGGCATCTCTCATTTCAACATCTCCTGCGGTTGTGGCGGGCACCTCTGCCTGCTCCACCTCCATCTCAGAAGGCTGCACATGTGAAACAAGCAAGTGATGCCTGAAACTTCAGGATAAACCAGCAATCTTTCGCCATCACTACATTTTTCAGCGAGAGGCAGTAAGTAGTCTAAGTTTGCACCCTGCCGTCCTCATGCTTTCAATAAACACAATCTGTATGGGACTAACTACGAGCCTGCAATACTCCATAGTCCTTTTGGCACTCATAGCGTCATCGAATTTGGCATCTCTAATCTGCGCCCTCGCCTGGCTGTTTTGATGACAAGGAGATCTACAAACGCTGGCAGTTTCAGATACACGACGAAAAACCCTACGTCATAACTTACTACTCGTTGGACCCGATGACAAACATTGAACAATCAATCTTGAACTTTACCTCCTCTTTGACCACTTCTTTCGTTGGCTCTGGAGGCCTGGCCATATCATCTTCACCCTCACTCTCCTCGTCCTGTACAGGCATTCACATCATCTTCCAGTTTGAGACCTTGCACAAGCTGTTGTTATTGTCAGCGAAGAACTACTCCACACTCAGAAATTCCGTCTGCTAAAGGTAAACTTGTAGAACGTGAAATTAAAGTGATGCTTCTCCTCGTGCCTACATGCTAGTTATTTGGAACTTCTTAGTTTCCAATCGCAACAGTCACGTTGATCAGAGAAGATAGAGAATAAAGTGAGCAGATTGCAGATCCTTGAGTGGGACACAACAGGTCTAGACCCTCACGAAACTAGTGTCACTCTTTAAGGAGATCTTGGTGGTTCCGGGTCTCCGATCCTTCTTGAAGTAGATGTAATGCATGGCCTCAAGGGAGAAAGCTGACTACTTGATCATCTGAAACTTCACAACGTTGTCTAGTGGGCTTGCATTAGCACGGGCAAGAATCACTAGGGGAAGTGGAAAGCCATCCAAAACTCTCAAAGTTTTGGTAAGAAGAAGGTGGACACTTGGAGTGATGGTTTTGGGCCCTGGATGTGGATGACAATAGCTTTCAATTATTCCGTGTCACAAAAGATCTCTTGATTACTTTTGGTGACCTGTTACAAAAGATCACTACTGCTAAGATCTCTAACCTCAGTTATCAAAAGAGCAGATCCGAGTTGTGTTAACAAGACCAAACCTGCATATATATTCTGGTCCTGTTCAAGTGTTAAGGGGAGAAATTGCCACATTTGCAATCAGGAACTATTTCCACTCATGATGATGTGAGTGATCACTAATTTCAAAGTGTATTCAAAGGACACCTGTAACTCGTGATATTCTAAAAGTCAAGACCTATATTACTCCCCTTTTAATGACCTAATGTCCAGCAAATCTTTTCACTACAAGATATTGCATAAATTCGTCGACTGACTACTGTCGTGCCTCTGGTGTTCTGGCTATCCTAGAAGTTGTCCAATGTGCATTCTACAGACATGTCTGTGTCTTCAGTAGAAATTCTTACTGCTGATGCAGCTTCAGCAAGCTCTTCCTCTTGCTTTACTTTGCTGGCTGCCCCTTGGTCCTGAATAGCGATACCCGATCTCCTGTACGTAAAAGACGCAACCACACAGATAAGGGAGATCTCCAAAAGAATGTGTGGAACATAGCAAGAGAGATTACTACAAAACACAGAAAATTAGGTTCAAGATTGATCTGTGCTCTGTGTTATCCGAACCAGGGTCTCCTCAGTCAAAGGATCTGAACCAAAAAAAAAACCAAGCCATGTACAATTTGCTTCCATTATTTCCCTTCAATTTGAAAAACGCACGACTCTAAAACATGTCCTCTGATAAAATCGCTCGAATCTACAATGCCATCTGCTCACATCCTTCCCTCAGATATCGGTTTCCGACTGCAGTGGTGCCAGACAGCAATCATGGCTAATACCTAGCAAATGCAGGCTCGCTTGCATCGTGATTACGTCGCCTAGGCTCTCTCGGCTCTCCATCTTCAGACTCGGAATCAGACATGTCACCATCCCAAGCCCGGCTCTTGCCTCTAACGTCCATTTCCTCTTCCTCCTGATCAAGAGTACACACAGGAAAACCGTTATACTGAATCCAAGAACAACAAAGAAAACTAGGACTGGCAAGCATTGTATGCGGGTAACAACTACTTCGGATTGTGGGGCAAAGTCGCTGACTGCTACTTGAGAGATCGGGAAAGAGAAGAGCAGCTGAGGACATTAGGGTTGGCTTGCAACTTCTCTTTCTGTGCTTTTCGATTGCTACTGGACAAAAAGCAGAAACTACTACGAAAATCGAGTCGGACTCAATTTTCTAACAGCCTTGATCATCAATCTGGTAACTCGGGTGTGCTGCTGCACGAGTTGTACTTCGCTAATATTCGCATCAAGATCGATGTAGCGCAGCAGTGCAACAGAAGATAACACAAGAAACATCACACCTTGCTGCATCAACGGGTAACTAACTTAACCAGCCACATTCAAAAAAGGCATAGTCGGAATAAATTAAACAGGTAAGCACCTCCTCCGGTAGCTCGGTATCCGGAGGTCGCTCATGGAACTGTACACTAGGTACAGCATGCAGCTTAGACAAGTTCTCCAGCAGCCTATCCCTGTGAAGTTACAGAGAACCATCAGATCCTGGGTGAAAGTTAGGACAACTTCACTTGCATCACGTAAAGCACTTGATCCTCCCCGCATTTATATCCTATCAGAACGTATATGACCCGGAAACTGCACAACTCAGCAAAAAAAATAGTTTACATCACCCCCACCTTATTGACTCAATATAATTTCGAGAATTTTGATTCTCCATGTTACTAGGAGCTACATGCAAGTTAAAATCTGGTCCAAAATACTCGTAGTAATCATTGTAGGGCATTTTGTCTTCCAACTCCACTCCGACAGCAACACCGGTCTGCAAAACCAAAACGGGAGGCACGTAGGTAAATTTCTTGACAACAAGAAACCCTGCATCCGACTCATTGTACCCAACCATCTAAACAGGCGGAAACAAGTACGTCATCCACGCCAGCACTAAGCACAGCAAGTGACCACTTCCTACCGCATGTATGCAAGGGTTCCAACCTAAACGCAAAGGATGCTCCAAGCCTTGTAGCCACTTCACAGAAGAAGTGTTTTGAAGAAAAAAGGCCAGTCATCTTCACCACTGGCACGACGAGCAAATCATGACAAAACCCCTCTATGAATGCACCGATGGAAAACTAATTGTCAAAACCTGAGAGCAGAGTCTTTCTCTACTTTAAACTCAGCTACGACACTTACTGACTGAGCGCAGTTCTTTTTCCGGGCCCTCTATGTGGACACCAACAGTGTGCTTTCAAATTACAGCAAGTGGAATTGATCTACACACCTCGTAGCACCAGCATCGGGCAACGTTACGTATGGTATATCCACCGCCTCCAACTAGTAATAAAGGGATGTTGAACGAGCGCATAAACTTTACACACTCTGCGTGTCCTTTCACAGACAGGTTGAAGCAGCCTAGGCGATCTCCGGAAAGAGAGTCAGCTCCGCACTGCAAAACCACTGCTCCTGGTTGAAACACCTCCATGACCTTCGAAATGATGGGCTTAAAGAGAGATTGGTAGCTCTCGTCGTCAATGCCGTCGTTCAACGGTACATTCAGTGAATAATATTTCCCCTTCCCGTATCCAATATCTCTAACATCTCCAGTTCCTGGGAAGTAATCTCCAAACTTGTGAAAAGAAACCGTCATGACGCGATCGGTGGTGTAAAAGGCCTCCTCCACGCCATCTCCATGGTGGATGTCAATGTCAATGTACAAGACTCTCTGCAGGTTAAAAAAAATGTCAATATGAAAGAAAGCAGAACCGCTCTCAATAAGACGTATGGCACTGCTGCTAAGTTGCTAAATTCGTTGAGTCGAACAAGTGTCGCACACGACGACCTAATTGCAAGATATCCGCAGCTGTTGCTTTTAAATCATGGAGCAATTATCCTTCAGTCTGGATAGCAACCATGCACTTGGACTGACGCCCAATATTAATGAACGTCGAACTCTTTCCTCAAAAGCAGAATACAGAAATAATTATTTCACGACTTCCCAATAATCTTTCTGCCACATCGGGGTCTAGAGGCATTGAGCACCCACGGCGCCTTTGCGCCAACCGAAATGTACATAACAAGCTGAAAAGGAAACCCATAAAGGCATCAAACTTACAGGGTGGTACTTGAGCAGCTCCAAAATGGCCAGTACAATATCATTCACGTAACAAAAACCCGACGCCTCGCATTTCTTGGCGTGATGAAGCCCACCGGCCCAGTTTATGGCAATGTCAGAGTGCCCGTGGTTGAGCTTAACAGCACCACCTACTGAGCCACCAGCGTATGTCTGACAGAATGCATACAATCCATCAAATACAGGGCAATCTTCGCCTACGTTAAACCTTTTGAGAGCTCTCGCTTGCTCGTGCTGAGTCTCAGGAGTGACAGCCCGCAAGAAAGCCACATAATCATCCGCATGAAAGCGGCAAAGATCTCGGTCTCTCGCCGGGTAAGGACGCAGCACTTCCATCTTATGATGAACTCCGTAGTGAACTAAAAGACTGTGAGCCATTCGAATTCTGTGAGGCTTCATCGGATGGCCCTGGCCGTAGTAATAATTCCCGACCTCCGAATCATAAAAGTACGCCACTCGACGCTTCCGCCCCTCGGGACCAGCCACCAAAGAATTTCCCCCCGCTTCCATCTTCGCAACCAACCTCGCACGAGCTAATCTAAAACCTTCGACTACTTCGAGCCCCGCGAGCGAACCGCGCCACACGAAAGTGCAGCAGTCGCGGGACCAAATATCACAGGCGAGAAATCTCGAGCGCCGAGTGCAGCAGAACCTGGAAAACACAATCGACACGGCCGACGATAAACCCAGACGTGCAGTCCTGATGGTTTCTTTCCCTCCATCACGACATCAAATCGTCGGCTGTGCGCGACGCATCGAATGCAGCAAGACTGTCAAGACTCGAAGAAGCCACGGCCTCCTTCGAAGAATTCCGTCGGGACAGCTCCCCCGCCGTGCTCCTTCCCTCGCGCCCAGCTGCAAACCTTTCACGGGAAAACGTATTGCTGCCTCGCAGAACAACGTTCAGATGATGAGCTACGTCGTCGACTCGCTTGATTCTTTGTTGCAGTGATGGAGCGCCTCGACTCGACATTATGTACCGAGCGGCAGCCGCGACCGACGACTCTTGCTCCACATCATGCTCCCAATGCTGCAGGAACGAATGTCTCCTACAAATATTTCCGTAGGTTTTTGTATTTATGCAAACCAACTTATACACGTCAGCGAGAGAGTACGAGGCAAGTTATTAATCATAATGCTCCAAAATTTGACCATAGGCTACATTTCTATATTATCACAATGGACAAACACACCGTAAAACAACTAAACTCAAACATCTATCTGTATCAAATGGTATAAGAACAATCTGACCATAGGCTACATTTCTATATTATCACAATGGACAAACACACCGTAAAACAACTAAACTCAAACATCTATCTGTATCAAATGGTATAAGAACAATCTGACCATAGGCTACATTTCTATATTATCACAATGGACAAACACACCGTAAAACAACTAAACTCAAACATCTATCTGTATCAAATGGTATAAGAACAATCTCGTGACATGGTTTCTATTCTTTGCTTTACTCTAGGTAAAGTTTTTTGTGAACGAATTTGATATTATCAGTGAGGAAGTGATACCCATATCACTTAAAGTGTAGTATTCTTTGTCTAACACTAACATGTCAAAATCTTGTCCATATTCTGTATCAATCTTCATTCCATTTCAAACATCACGTCTTTAATGACATTATGTCATTACAATACGTCTATCAACAGAAATTACATCTAGAATAGTTCAAATTTTATCTATGAAAATATAATGTGTATACGAAACAAATTCGAGATTTCATTGTTGCAATAAATAGTTGCTGAAAGTTGGAAAAAATAGTTGCTGCAAGTTGGAAATTGAAAGGCTTGGTGAAAATTAAAAAATATGTAACCAAGGAATATAGCTCAGTTTACATTCAATTTTAATCAATCTGTACCTAATGTTCAATGGATGTTTCTAGATGGTGAAATCACGAAAATCAAATATGTTTTAGATGTTGAAGTAATATATTTGGTCTATATAAGTTGGATAAAAATTGATATTCATCATTCTGATGATATTGGATTCTAGCACTAGTTTATTTAAGTTCATATTTTCATATAATGCTTGATTTTAAAAAAATTAACAAAATTCCTACAAAGATTGGTTAACCAAACAAGGGAGAGATGCATCACTAAAAAAAATTGGACCTGTTTGTTTCTCTTACATGTCTTAATACAAACACGAAATTGGAACTTCTTGAAAATTAATGTTAGAAATGTGAAGCTTTCAAAAAAAACTTCTTACAGAAATGTGAATAGTGTTGTGTGGTAAAAATTTAGATATTTTATGGAATGAACCTGCACTTTTATGGTTTAGAATGTAGACAGTTCTCTTCGGCCTCCCTCAAATGCTATCGAAAAAATTTGAAAGTTGCGAGTTAGAGTTTTGGTCCGTTAGATTTTTGCTTAAGTTTCTACTAGTTTGACTTCCATATATAGAAGGATTTCACGTTTGTATTCTCTAGTGAATACGGCAATCTTCGGCGCATCTCCGTGTAGCCATATACTTTATCTACTGGCATTTTTAAAATATTCATTACCAATGACACCACCAGCCTTTCTTTTCTTGGATGTCAAATACAACACTTAAGCCATTCGCTCTCTTCTATTCAAAATGGATCCCTATTGGATCTTGCCACCTTCAGCCCTGCCAGTTCCACGTTGTCAGATACCTGTAGCTCATGAGTTCTAACCTTAAAGATTTATAACTTGAAGGTTATTGCCAACGTCCAGATTTTGCTAGGTTGTGGTTAGCTTTGCCTAGTTTCATTGTAAATAATGGTACGAGAGCATGACGGCATTTTCTTTGCTAGCAGAAGCATAATTGCTTCTTTCATTCCCTTTTGCTTCACCTTCCTCCATATTGTTTCATCCACTTCCTCTCCATGTCACCAAACTGCTATGGTGTGAAGTTCAGATATTCTTCTATTTGATCATCCTGACCGTTTGTTTCTTTGCCGTGTGTAGGGTACTCGGCATCTCTACTTACCAAAGAAAGTTGTCATCATTTGCAGATACTCTAGCTTGAGACTGAACTTATATTAGTTCCGTGTTAAATTTCTTTCATCCATGATCCTCATGATGAATCTTCCTCCTTCTCATGCATGACACTACTATTTGACCTTGACAATAATTCATCCAATATCTTAGGGAGCCTTCTATTTCCACAGCTCACCTTTAAATGTAAAATATCTTCGTAAAACACAATAATGACCAGAGAATTACAGAATAATATAAACCTCAAGATTTGATAGATAATTTCGGATTTTCACATCATATATTGAATTTAAAATGAGTACATTATGAACAACATTCCTGATATGGATTCCGATCTTTTTCGTAAGATTTCTGAAGTACAGCAAAAACATACAATGAATTATAGCATTACAAGTAAAATCATTATCACTGAATATCTAATTCGATCGTAGAAATATATTCTAAGTAAAATTTATCGTTTTTGGAATAAGTAAACAAAAATGGAAGACTTTATATGCTACCCAATTAAAAAAAGTAATTTCTATTAAATTCAGATATTATACCTTAGGAAAAAGTCTTTTTATAAAAATTACGTATCAAAGTTAATCGATTTATGAAGATATTCAAATATATAGCATTGACACTTTTTGCAATTTTTATTTTGAATTATAAGAGCTTGGTTAATCTACTTGTTACTGTTCGCATCATAATATTAGATAACAAAAAAATTTGATAACTACAATATGATAAAATTTATCAAAATTTGTTGCAAATGAAATAAATCTTAAATTAAATTTTTTTTTTAATTGTGGCATATATTCATGTCTAGTAAAAGTGATATATTTATAATTAAATTATTTAAAAAAAATTATACCTTATTCAGAAAACTAAATATTAACTAGAAATATATGTTTGTTTTTTTATTGTAATGTATAGAATTAATTTTTATCTTTTCTATATTTTATACAGAAATAAAATCAAAACATAGCAGTGATAAGAAAAATATCTATGGAATAAATACATTAATATGTATGGTAAATTGTGTGATTCAAAATTATAACATTTTTTGAACAAAAGTCACGTATCACAGTATCCATAATGTCTAGCATGTGAAGATATTTTTCGCATTCATAAACACATCAGACGTGCGAGATATTTTCTGCTTGTCAAGGAATCCGCATACACACACATGTATTCCCATCAGATTTCTTGCATGTGATTATTCATCATTAACTTCATGAGATAGAAAGTAGTTCTTTTAATGTAAAATGTAGTTTTAATTACTGGAAGCAACTATACGATAGTTTCAAGTTATGTGGTTGAAAGAGAATTGTTGTACTGTAAATTTATCAAGTCATGCACATGTTGGAGTTAACCGATATCAAAGCAAATTATCACACAATTTGAAATTTCATATTCCGCAAGATCCGCATATTGTACTCCTTTGGATGGAAAATCTGTAAGAATAATAAAGCGACTGCAGTACAGTATGTTTGTGACGGTAAACATTGATATTTTCTGAGGAAGAAAGTATCACCAATATTGGATTATGTTCCATGAGCCCCCGAATTCCATTTGCCATTCTCCTTTACTACAGCCTCCTAAACTGTAAATGATGGTAAAGGCAGATACCGCTGGAGTCTGCCAACAAATCCAGATTATTGTCACATAAAAATCGTTGGACGTTTGGGTCTTGACTTGGGGAGACTGAAGGAAAGTACCGTACAACACAATATCTGTGACATAATATGCAATTGACATCTTAGAGATTCAGTCGGCCGAGGGCCAGTGCTGCAATGGAAGACAAAGTGCGGCATACTAGTTCACGAAGGGTTTGTTTTAAAATTCATCCTTACATAATTCACCGAAGAGAAGATTTGTTCGTTACAAATTCACAGTAGAGTATGATCATTCAGTAAACTTTCTTAATTTGAATTTGTTGAGGGTACATTAATCCCAGCTGAATGTTGGCCTAATTTCGTAAGTTTTACTGTGAATTGCTGAAAATGGCATGAAATTGCATGAAAATGGCCTGTAAGTTCGACTTCGGGAAATTCATCCAAACGACGTAGAGATCGGATTATGATTATGGGAGCAAAATACAATTGACACTGCAACTTAATGAGGTGTCTAATCAGTTTATTGTACACTACGGAACGTACTGAACGAAGAGTCAGAACGTGTGCGTCTCTGAAATAGGCGAAGAAATACATGCAGACTCATGTGAGTCATTTGCGCATTAAGAGAACCACGGTGTGGGCTGCAATGCTTCGATTTTCGCCCAGGCTGTCCACTTTCTCGTGGGTTTTGGCTTTTAGATTCACGACCGTGGGGTCGGCTTGCAAGAGCTCGCACAGGTTAGCTCGAATGGCCTCTTTGTGAGGGCTGAGCTTCGGTCTTTGCAGAATTAAAGTGGCGTCCAAGTTCCCCACTACATATCCGGCTTCGTGCATCCGCCTCACCTGCGAATCAGGGCCAGTGTTTCCATGTTACATGCTGGCGCGAAGGATGCAGATAATTCTGAATGCAATGCTCGGGATGGAAATTCTCCATCAGATTGGAAGAGGATTGGGACGGACTGCCTTACCGCTTCTTTCATGAATACATCGGACGTGCACCCCTTCCACTTCGGGTCGTTGTCCGGGAAGATTTGTCCAATGTCGGGAAGACCCAGAGCTCCCAGAATTGCATCCACTACGCAATGGTATAGTACATCTCCTGAGCGCGCACAAAATCCACAATTTCTTTTTTAGAAACTGCATCTCGTGGATTTTTCACGAAGCTGTGAACCCTAAGATGCGTGTAACTCACAGAGTCGAGCCCAGAGAGACTGAAGTGCCACAATTTTCGACCTCTCCTGAATTGGTCCAGCCACGACAAAAATTGAGAAATTGATATCAGACGCACAAACCAGCAACGACCCTAGTTCTCATAGCCAGCGAAATCAGGAGTGACTTTCGTACCATCGGAATGGGCTTCACAGCCCCTGTCGTGAGGAATGTTCACACCTCCGATGATTAAAGGAAGGTTGGGTTCCAGCCGATGCAAATCGAATCCGTGACCTATTCTGAAGGGTAGCACGGGTGCTTCTTTCACCGCTGCTTTCGTCGGCGCATCGTCGACTAACGTGCTCGCCGAGCAGGCAAAAGACCTCTCGGACTTCTTTGACAGAAACCGCGGCAAATTACACTTTCCCCTGCTCAATTACACGCAATTGTTAGCTTGACTTAGCACTGCCGAAGAAGATCTCCTCACCGTCGTGCAAAAATTACGAAGCACTGATTTAAAAGTTGCGTCTAAGATAATCACTGCGCTTTCTAGCTTTCCGATTTTTTGAAATGTGAACTAATGGACGACCATGGCCCTCTAAAGATGCAACTCAGCTTAACGCACCACATTTCAACCGAATTTCATATCAAATAGCGAAGCAAAACAAATTCGCGCGGCCCTGCATACCTGGAAGACACAATTGGAGTGAAAAGAGGTCCAGAGACGCCGAACACTGAAGAAGAAGGAGAAGAAGCAGACTCGCTTCGAATCGATGAGAACGCACCCACGCCAATTCCCCCGACGCAAGGAACGCTCTGTGCGCAAACCAGGCTGTGGAAGGAGGTCGCCATCATCTTGCCTCTCGCAGCTAGTCACAAAACCTCTTCCTCCACCGAATCGACTCACTCGGCCTCTGCTACCCGAAAATCTCTCCCTTCTTCCACCCCAGCTCCCGGTCGTTATGCACGAGCACGACGCCAACGAAGACAGTCCCAGTCCCTGGATCGAGCGAGCGAACGAGCGGGCCTACGGGATGAGAACCTGGCCGACGAATCCGCGGTCGCGCAAGAGGACGAAACACTGCATCAGCGCAATAATCAGATCAATAATCGAGAAGGAGGACTTCGTTGAGCACGTTCCCCCTTCCGATCTTCCGTCTCACAGTTCTAGTGTGGGGTAGGCTCAGGGGCGGAATATTCCCGCCGCCGGATTCCCCATCGACGGCTCAATACGCTGTCGTAACGCACGCTGGTGCCCCGCGCGGGGGTTAGTAGGTGCGTAATCGCTTTATTTCTGATTTTTGCTTTGGGGGTGAAATCTGAAAGGCTGAAAGGCTGAAAGGGTTGGGTTTACGGGGGGTTTATGGCCCGGGTGGCGCTGCGACGGCCGAGGACCACATCGCCCGGTAGTCGCCTTTCCGAGGATGGTGTAGTTGGCGACCCCCGGGGGAACGATTGACACGAGCAAGAAGCGAGTGAAGGGAGGGGAGGGAAGAGAGGGAAGGAAGGCAGGACCGGCTGGTGAGAGAGGAGCTCTGTTTCCATGGCTTCTGCGCGGTTGGTGAGGGCGACCATGGTGGCCCTGCCTTCCGCTGTCTGTGTTTACAGGTGCAGCAGTGGCAGCAATTCGGCCTCCGCATTGCGACCGGCCTTTCATCGCAGGTTCGTCGCGGTCTCGGCTTGCGCATCGGCCGAGGGTTCTTCGCCCGCTGGGGGCTTCACGAATAATTCTCCGCAGCCTGTGTCGTCCGTGAGAATCAGCAGGAAGCAGCAGAGAGCTCAATCGGCGAGGGTTGTGAGTCAGCAGAGTAGCACTCGAGTGACCGAGGAGAATGCAGGAGGGTCGGAGTACGAAGCTGTTATCGGAATTGAAACTCATGTACAGCTCGCTACCGCGACCAAGGCATTTTGTTCCTGCCCTTCGCAGTATGGGTCAGAGCCGAATGCCAATGTGTGTCCCATCTGTATGGGCTTGCCGGGTTGCTTGCCTGTTCTGAACGAAAAATGTGTGGAGTTCGGCGTAAGGCTTGGTCTGGCACTTCATTCGGACATTGCTCTCAAGTCGAAGTTCGACAGAAAGCAATATTTTTATCCGGATCTTCCGAAAGGGTACCAAATTTCGCAATTCGACATTCCTATTGCCAGCAATGGGTTTCTCGAAGTAGACTTGCCTGTAGAGTGTGGAGGAGGTCACAAAAGATTCGGTATCACTCGGGTGCATATGGAAGAAGATGCCGGGAAATTGATCCATGCTGGTGCGGATCAGCTCTCCGGCTCGACTCACTCTCAGGTGCTTAGTTACACATTCAATAACTTTCTCTTCGTCTCAAGTGATCCTTTCCATGATCTTTTATGGCAGCAACAGACTAAAGAATTGTGTGTTTGCTCGTGCAATTTGCTGGTTACCTTACACGGAGCTTATTCTGCCGATGAGGGTTGATTATGTGGAGACATGTGACGTGATCTTGCAGATTACTTTTGCTGCTCAATTACAATAGCCATCAGCATTACCGTATTAGTCTGAACGCAAAAGGTTCTGTGTCCACATCTTGTAGGTGGATTTGAATAGAGCTGGAGTGCCTTTGTTGGAGATTGTTTCAGAGCCTGATATGCGCACAGGCCTAGAAGCTGCTGAATATGCAGCAGAGCTACAACGGACTGTGCGTTACTTGGGTGTTGGGAACGGAAACATGCAAGAGGGCTCCATGCGCTGTGATGTTAACATCTCAGTGAGACCAAAGGGGCGAGCCCAATTTGGTACGAAGGTGGTTAACCCATCTTGACCTTCGATGCTTTTTTTAATGGCAGCAACCTGTTCGTCCACTCTATATCTTATCATCTTTCTAGAATTTTTGTTTTGTTGCTGCTATGTGATGATGTATAGTAACCTTCAGTACTAACCATATGATGGCTCGTATTCTTTGGTAGTATTGTATCTTCCTCTCTCCGACTTCAAATAATTTTCCAAATTTTCTCATATAACGGTAATATTTGTATGGAAATTTAAACCTCAGGTGGAGATTAAGAATATGAATTCCTTTTCTGCAATGCAACGAGCAATAGAATATGAATTTGAAAGGCAAGTCCAACTCATTGATGAAGGCGAAGGTGACAAGATAGTTCAGGAGACAAGGCTTTGGGAAGAAGCAGCTCAGGTATTGTTCATCTTCCTTGCTGAAGAAGTTCTGTTATATTGGAATTAAGAGTATATATGTGCTTAATTGAGGTGAACAAAATTGATGAAGTTATGAGTTGCGTTCGAAAATAGTACTTTTTAAATTTTGAAGGGATCTGTTAAGAGACATATGTGGATGAAGCTAAACTTTCTGGACCGAGCTTTCAGTCTGCACAAAAAACTTATATGGTGTCTCTTCATTGCCGAACTGCTTCTGAGCAACTTGATGTTTTCCACAGCGAACGACAACCATGCGGAAGAAAGAAGGTCTTGCTGATTATCGTTACTTCCCTGAACCAGATCTGCCCGAAGTGATTTTGAACGAAGAGTATATTGAATCCGTCAGAGCAACTCTGCCCGAGTTGCCGAACGAAAAGAGACGACGCTATGAGACCTTAGGGCTCAGCATGCAGGATATTCTCGTTCTAACAAACGACATTGATGTACGTTTTTACTAAGTTTAAAAATCGTCTTTGCTGTCTGCAATGGCCCTATCTGGAGCATCTATTAAATTTTTATTGGTAAAAATGGTCTGTGTTTTATCTTCTCAACGTTGGAGTCTTCACACTACTTCACAGGCACATGTAGAGTTTGAAAGAAAGAGAAGAATTTGTTGTTCTTGTTTCAAGTTGTATACCCTCCCACCATGAGACTTTCACGTGACAAGATGCAGTCTATTGACTTTCTTCCGCTTCGTGTAGGTTGCAGCATATTTTGATGCTGTGTTAGAAAAGGGTGGTGATGTTAAAATGGCGGCGAACTGGATCATGGGGGATATCACGGCGTATTTGAAGAACGAGAAGCAATCAATTACCGAATTGAAATTAACTCCTCCAACACTTGCCGAGCTCATAGGCCTGATCAAAGATGGTACCATTAGCGGTAAAATAGCCAAGGAGGTGAGGAGCCGACCGCATAGACCCTAGGCTTTAGTGCGACAGTGATTACGCTGGCGACTATATATTGCTTGGCCTTGGTAGAATATCTAACAGGTCCGGTTCTTTTGTGTGTCGATTATAACAGATTCTCCCCGAGCTGCTTGAAAGCGGAGCAAGTGCTAAAAGTATCGTAGAGAAGAAAGGCCTACTTCAGGTATACTTGTGTTTTGATTCACCTGGAAAAGTTGTATACCTGCATTTATAACGTTCGTACTTCGAAAAAATGCCGGAGAAAGCACCTTTGATGCTGTTACTTCTTGTTAGGTTTGTTTTCCCTGATGAAAGACTATTATGTGTGCGTGATCAGACTTTGTGTAAGGATGCAGTCATTTTGTCAGTCATACGTAGTCTCTTCACCTATTCAAGCTCTTTATATTCTTCTTGTCTTCCATAGCTACTGGAACTGGAGATTAGTTCAGCTGAAGTATGTCTATTTAGGTTCTTCTAATAGTAAAATGAAACTTGAACTATCTATGCAATGGCGACTGATCAATGTGGATGTGTTCATGCAGATTTCGGATGTTGCCACTATAGAGAAAATGATTGACGAGGTCTTGGAAAAAAACTCAAGCCAGTTAGAGGCTTACAGAGGTGGTAAAACAAAACTGCAGGGCTTCTTTGTCGGCCAGGTAACTTTCAGTAGTTTTTGTCTCGTTTTGCCTATACGAATTGTTGTCAAATTATCTGGGTCATAAATGTATGCACCAAGGTTGCTTATTCTACTGCGGAAGGGACCATTATAAGCGCAGCAGAAAGTGGAACGAGTTACTGGGAAGTATGGTGTGAATATCTGTGAACGAGGAAGCATTGAACCTAGGTGTACTTGATCATGAAAGCACTTGAAACACATTTATTGGATAATGGTTTATGTACTAGAACTTGCAAAGGTATGAGGTGCAGGATCAAGCTACTTCTCTGTGTTCTACTCCCAATATGCAAATTGACATGTCTTTCCTGATTGTGTCAGGTGATGAAGGCATCTGGAGGGAAGGTCAACCCAGCATTGATGAATAAGTTATTGATAGAAAAATTGAACGGATGATACTTAAGTATATCGATCTGGCGCTTCCAGCGAGGTGGCCTTCATCCGTGTACTATATCATTTTATTATTGCCAATCTGAAATGGGAGGAAGGTTTACGCATGTCTATGTGATGACGGGTGTTTTTTGTTTCAGTAGTGGCTCTGAAACTGTCATATTTAAAGATGCATGGAATGACTATTTTCCACTGACATTTTAGTAATGTTCTTTAGCTGGGTTATCACTAAGGCCAATCGTTGGTCTAACAGAAGCAGCTCTTGATAAATTGGCTGAAGCGCAAGGAATCAAGCTACCGGAACGTTGTTTTGGACTCAAAAGTCTTTCAAATTCCCGAAACTGTTTCCGAGCTTTTCAATCATAATCAGGTTGGAATATATGAACTATCCTGATTATTGGGCGAATGAGAGCGAAGTTCAGATAGCAAGTAAAGCAGAAACGAAAGAATGAGAGTGCCACCAAGAAATATGGCTGAGTGGATTATTAAAATAACTTTCTGTTGAATTTGACATGAACTAACTTATCTTGCTCATAGCTAAACAAGGTGAAACCTACTGCAAATGTTAAAACACGACTTTCTCTTGAAGAGTTTCAGACTTCAATATCTTCTTGTCCCAGTCTTTATTTAGATACAACCTTGATGTTGAAAGCTCCAAAGATATTATAGATATTGTGTTTTAAGAAAATACTTCAAATCATTTGAGTATGAAGATCCAAAAAAAGTTTGAAGAATAAAAGAGTATGATTTTAAAAAGAATTGTGCAAGCATATGTTTGAAATTTAGAATGAAAATAGTGAGTTGTCATCATTACAACTTAGAAGCATTGTATATGAACAGAGGTATGATGCAATGTCAAACATATTATTATGTAATTTTATTAAAAACTATCATGTTTTATTTATTGATCATTTTTGAATTTCACTAAAATTTTCATAGTAGAACATACTGTATTTGGTATAATGAAATAAGTGGAATGATTGTTTAGGCAATGAATTCAAGGTTTTCAAAACTTGAAAACCTTAAACCACTGATGAAATTATTGGCTATATTATTAATTTTTCATTAATTTGAGTTACACATGCGCTCTAGTTTGGTAAAATATATTATTCATTGAACTTACCATGTATGAGATCTTGTCAACCTGTTCTGCTACACAATAGATTTTACTTTCAAGCTATAATTTTTACTTAGATTTATTTAGCAACTTGTGCCTTCCCATGTATGTAAAAAATTATAAATTTCTCTATAATGTCTTGTGTTAAGTTTTATTATGCATGTATGAAAATTTTATAATAATTTCACTACCCATAGATATTATATGTATTTATTATATTATATATGTAAAAATATCTATTGAGTTTTCATGTTGCCTTATATACATGTGTAAGAAAAGTGATCACGAGTTTTCATCGTAATTTATACATAATTATTCTAATTATTTTTTAAATGTATAAATGACTCAAAAAAGATGTTCAAAGAACTCAATTTGTCCCTTCTGAGCAAACACGAGGCCAAGTGGCCAGTCACGCTTCAGGTCTTGGATGAAGAAAGCGAGCAAGGTCGGACGGACGTGCGTGAAGAAGTGAAGCTCTTTGACCATAACCCTAAAACCGTACCACGTCGACCGGTGCAGCCACGGCTTCTGCGTCCGAGCTGACTCACCGGCAAGTACCGGCAATTACCGACCAAGCCAGTCGAGCGCACGCTTGGCTGCGCGTAGAACTGCCGGTGGAACGGGTTTTAGCATCCCCTTCTCGAGCTCGACTCCAGCTGGGGTTTAAGCCTCGAGCGTCCATCGGAGAGGAGAAGGAACTGGATCCGAGAGGAGGAGAAGGACAAGGGAATGGAAGAATTAGGCTCGGCAGCAGGCTTGGAAGTTGTGAGATTCGCCGGCTCTGCGGCGATCCATTGATGGTTCTCGTGCTTCACGGAGGTTTGTGGTCCTATGGGGTTTTGGTCGGGAGAATGCCATTCCGGTGTAATGTTCAAGGATGAAAGATGTGGATGGGTTTGGAGACAGGTCTCGTCACGATCGAGAAGAGGATTCAGTCAATGCCCGGGAACATTTATCGAAATTTTGAGTCCAGCAAAATTGGATGCAAGAATCTCGGTGACGTGTTCTGCATTGGCCTGGCCTGCTTGCAATGATGATTGGAACTTGTGAGCATGGTCTGGATTAAGCGCGTTAATTGCGAAGGCGGGGCTGGGCAGTGAGAGCCTCTTGACGGGTGAAATTGACGAATATGCATAGGGCAGTGGGCCGCTACCAAGGCTGGAAGATCAGTAATTATCTGGTGGGGCTGAGCCGCAATCCCGGGATCCATTTATCCGATGGGCCGGGATCCTTCATGCAGGGCATTTCATGCGCAAAAAGTCCTCACTCTCGTGTGAACACGAAATATTTCTATCCGATGGAGAGCGTAGTTTTCAAGCAGTCCATTCCTGTTTCCAGGAATAAAGCTGTGGGTGCCACTGCCGAGAGAGGAGTAGGGTCGTCCAAAGCTCCCTTGCAGGTGGGTCGAAATGGAACGAGGAATCGTGTTGGTGCGAAGTCTGTAGGCGGCAGATGTCTGTCGAGCAAAAGGTTGATGGAGTCAGCCTTTCAGGTGCTTCGTGATCTCAGAAAGGATAATTTTAGTCTGGGATTGTTCAGGCTAGGCCGATCAGCTGCCTCTGAGAAAAACCTTTTGAGTTCCAATGCCCGTGAGCATTCGGGGGAAGCGGAATTCGAATGGTCTGCGGCTCTTTGGGAAGCAGAGGTTTCAAGTACCGAGGACGAGATATGTTCGAAAAGCAGCTCTGGTATTGGTCAAATAAACCCTGCGGAAATCCCACTGAATGTCTTCACAGATAGTGCCTCACGGGTGGCCCCGGGTGCGATCGAAGATGCTCGAGATCCACCGCCATCGAACGCATTGGAAGCTCAAGGAAGCGACCGAAACCTTGCAGAAATTGTCAATTCAAAAGAAAAACCTTCAGAGTTGTCGCAATTCTCTACTACTTGCATAATCGACCCAGACAATCATATACAGGAGGAGGCTGTTGTAGAAGAGTCCACGAACATGAGTGAGTCTTATTTGAAAGGCAGCCCCAGCTCGGATGTCGGTGATTTTCAACAGAGTATAGAGGAAGTCGTGACTTCCTCCAGTCGTGATTTTACCGAGGATGACGGTTTAGTACGCTCGAGTGACAGACGAGAAGGGTCGGAAATTCATTCCGAGTCTCTCGCACTTGAATCAGTCGGTGAAATTGACGAGGTAGAACAAGTGGAAAGGCTGAAGAAATTGCGGGAAGCCGTAGCTCATCATGCATATCAGTACAACACTTTAGACGATCCTCAAATAAGGTGAGGAAACTGCCGAACAATGTCAGCACGGTTGAGGTGGAATTTCAAAGTCCAAAGTTGAATGTCGAATGATTCTTCGAGTATACAATTTGCTCGGGAAATTAACACAAGGAAAAGAAAATGCTAAATATATCTGCAGCTGGCCGCGACTATTCACGAAAGTATTCTTCGATCAGAATGATTCACCTTCTTCGGTTGGAAATTATTGTATCGATCCAAGTCCGAAGACAAGTTGAGAAACCTTCGTGAGTAAAGTTTGATAGTAATGTAGACTGTGACTCTGTTCTTGGCTCCGCAGTGATTCGGCGTTCGATGCCTTGGTCAGAGAAATGAAAGAAGCTGAGGCTTCATTCTCTAATGGGAATGACTCAGAACATCCTGTGGTGAGATCTTCTACCTGTTGGCTTGTCACCTGCAAACGAAGGTGGTCCAGGCGATAAACACTGTAGTTTGCATGTATTGCAATTCAAACGTCTCCCTGTTTTGACGAATCATTTCTAGCATTGCGCTCGTGTTTGGTCCTCTCCTCTTTGATCTCCTCACAACATTCGTTTCGCGTCGTTCTGAAAGCAGCCTTCCCACACCTTCCGTTTTCCACTCTCAAAGGTTTTTTAGTTTGTTTTGAGTTGTGGACTTTCTTACCTTACTCGAATGCACGCGCTATTATTCACAATCAATATGCTTGGTTCAGATCGGTGCTCCACCTTCTCCCGCCATGCCGAAAGTACAGCATTCTGTGCCCATGCTCAGCCTAGCATCCGTACAGAAAGGTGTGCTAATCTGCACTGTACATGAACCCTCTTCGTTCTCTTTATCCAAATTGTCCATCCATCTGGGAGTCATTAGATTGCAAAGTAGTGTTTTGTTCCACAAAGTCTCTTCGTTTGACAAATATGGTGGGTATTGAAGAGCAGTATCACTGCCTTCTGCAACCTTCAAGCTTTGTGTGATGTTTTGTATTACGTCTTAATTTTCGTCAATTCTCTCTCAGCAGGGGACTTTGTACTCACAAACTATGCTCAAGTGTTGTTTCCACAGAAGAGGAACTTGTATCATGGCACCAGCGGCTGCAGCAAAAATTGGGACCAGATGAGATATCTCTGCAATGGGTAGTTGAGCCTAAAGTCGATGGACTTGCGCTCTCCCTGTTGTACGAGGATGGGAAACTAGTTCGCGCTTCAACTCGAGGAAACGGTTTTGAAGGTATTGTTTTATGTATTCTCCCTCGCTCTTGAGCTGAAAGGTCGCTAGAGATGTTATTGAACGGAAGCTTCCAAAATTCATTCCAAGATATCCAGACAAGGTACCATTGACGTCCATATTGTGAATGCAGTCGCGATTATTCACTCTGGTTGTCATGAGTTGCAGGAGAAGACGTAACGCTAAATGCGCAAAATGTGTCAAATATCCCACAAGTACTTCCTGGTTCACATTCTTCCTTCTCAACAATCGAAGTCCGTGGAGAGATATATATGCCTTTGAAGCAGTTTGAAGAAATAAATTCATCAAAGGTAGTGGCTGTCTTAATTTTTATCTGTACATGTTTTTCCTCTCTCTCTCTTCGAGGGCCTGTATTTCATATTATTATTGTTATTTCAAATTATTCCAAACATCACGAGCATAGGTGCGGGTTTTCCTACCTATTTATTAAGTTGATCTTTTTGGGCTCTATTTACAATTTACAATCTGCTGGGTTACCATGGAAAAAGGTACAAGCAGGAGAGAAACCATTTGCCAACCCAAGAAATGCAGCAGCGGGATCCATGCGCTTACTTTCGCCGCAGAAAGTCGATCACCGGCCATTGAGTTTCGTAGCTTACAATATTGCCAAGATATCATGTAAGATATATCGCTTTCGGCTCTATCAATCTGCTGTCTGTAGAAGAGCCCACATCGTTGTCCATGATTTTGTTTAATTATAAAGAACTGACTTTGGCTTTTCAATCTCTGCAGTCACAGAACCTGGCACGGATGTTCCGAAGAGCTCTCTATCTACACCGAGCAGTCAGTGGGAAGCATTAAAACTCTTGAATACTCTGGGGTTTTTTGTGAATGAGGATAACCAAATTTTCAACACCTTCGAATCGGCCCTTGAATATGCAAAAAGGTACCTAATTATCTAGAACTTTGTTTTTCTTCATATGATTGCGCATCATTTCTATACTTACTTTCGCGTCTTACCTGGTAGCTCAGATTTGCTCAGTAATATGAAGGCTGAGTTCTCGACCTGGTGTCGTATATCGTTATTTTAAGTATTATGCGCAGCTTGAACGGACGTGCAAGATGTTTGGTACTTTTATGTTATTTCAATATCTTATGTTTCACTTACGAGAGAATAATGATGTAACCATTGACGAAATAAGGGTTAGCTGGTTGAGGAAGTTGTACATTTAGTCCTCTAGAGGGATCTATCAATTATAGTAACGAGCTTTATTTAACTTAAAAAAGGCCACAAATATTGCTCAGGACAGACGGGGCTATGAGAGGAGAAAAAGACGTTGCAGAGGATTCAGATGTTGCTATCATAACAATTCTGTGTTCCTATGCGATTTAAACTTATGCGATATTTAGCGGCAGCTGCCATTAAATATAATGTGCTAGGAAAAATACGGAAGCAATTTCGGTCGAACTTAGTAGATTTCACAGAGCATTTCAAAAGCGAATTTAGTCTTAGACGCGTTTGAAATTAGTTAATATGTCTTTATTCTTTGTACATATAGATAATAACATCTTTTTCTTCGAGCACAGCTGGAGGAATAGCAGGGCGGGCTTGGGGTATGAAGCAGATGGTGTCGTATTCAAATTGAATGATGGAGCAACGCAAGTACTACTTGGAGATATAGGAGGCAATCCTCGGTGGGCAGTGGCGTGGAAGGTAAATTATTCAAATCAGTAAGAAAATCAAACTTTTGTTTCCAAAGCTATATGGATTAATTTGTGCATGTTATAGCCATCAGATTCATTCCCCCTGCCACAGACTGCAAGTTGCCGGATGGTCACACATTTTCCTTTCCGTAATTAAAATGGATGACTCGCATTCGGAACTTCAACCCAACGCGTGTCTCCAGGCAAGAGGCATTCTGGAGATATTGCTTGAAGGTGGTGAGTTTAATGTCCACCTTGATTGAAGGGAGATCTGATTTGTAATGTGCTACCTCCGGTGTTGTGAGTTACCATTTATTGCCTTTGTCATCTAGTTTTCAAAGGTCCTGCTTCCATCTGCCATGAATTTACTACAGAGGGCAAATATTGTTGCCCTTGCAGTGCAATGTCCCATGTCGACCAAGGGAAACAAGACAGGAGAGATATGCCTTTATTGCATCCTGTATCCGTTCCCTTCTCCGACTATCAGCGTGTCAATCTGTGTACTGATATGCAATTTGATCCTCATCTAGTGATACAGTCTATGTGCGATGCCTTTTTTGACTGGCCAAAAACTGTACAAATGAGCCAGGATCTCCAGTCCTGATGTTGTTCTCTTCCTCGAGAGTTTGTTAATGATCATCATCCTTCATCCAAAAAATAAACTGTTTTCTGACCGTATAACACTACAGCTAGCAAACAAGATTGGCTAACAGATTTTTGTTTGTCACAAACTTAGATATGGATCAATTGTCAACGGTTTTGATCGAAAATCAAAAGTAAAGTATTGTGTTGATATGGCGTTTGCTCCACTCTTCTCTAGCAGCAGATGGAGATAATTAATTACAGACTACTACCTTCCTATGTTTCAAATTTTGAAATTGCGAGAAACATCAGAGTGCCTCATTTCAGACGTAAAATGTAGGTTTTAGAAGTAGTTTGGAAACGAAGTCTTACGTTCTTATCTCAGGTATAAGCGACGGTTGTATCACTTGGTGTATGGATCAACTTTCAATGTTAAATGTCGATAGAACTAATAAGATTTTTTGTTTGCAGTTCGCAGCAACAGAGGTTGTGACAGTCTTGGAGGGAATAGAGCTGACTGTGGGCAGATCCGGTGTTATTGTTCCAAATGCTCGCTTGAAGGTATTATCAGTGAACTTGCTGAAATTGCAGAGCCTGTATTTTTTGTATTATGACCAAATAACTGGTAGTTGATTCCCCTGCATAATAACGTTTTCCTTCCAATCACACAACTTTTTACACTATGTATGACCACAATGATTTACACATGTTGCATTCTAATTTGTTGTGCATCTCGTCGTATATACAATATTTCTTAGACGTGGTTGGTCGAACTGAGGGCTTGTGGATGGTTGAAGGGACCCTATTGTGCTTCCACATCAATACAGATTAATCGGAGTTCATGTATAGGACTGAAAAAGTGGCCAGTCTGCTGCAAATGCAATTCGAGGCGTATATATTTCAATGGGGAGGGTAGAAAGCGTGAGAACAGTGGGAACGGAGTTTTGCAATACTTTACAGATGATACATACTACGCGTAAATCTAGTTTCCGTATTGTGTCCCGTAAGAAATTGACTACCACGTTTCGAACGCGATATTTCCAACTGAGGTCACGTGCTGTGTGGAAGGGTTCATTTTACACTTGTTGCATACTACATGTTAGGTGTAGTGCGCCTTCTAGTAAATGAAATACCACGTCGGTGACTTCGTGTTGTAATTGAGAGCTTGTGATTGGTCGAAGGGACCCTATTATAAGTTCAAAGCTATAGAGGTGCAACGGTTAGGAGTTAATACATATAACGAATTCTCTATGTATGTTTGGGCTAATTAAACATTGTGTTTGCAGCCTGTGGAGCTCGGAGGAGTATCCATAAGACGTGCGACCTTGCATAATTTCAAGTGCGTGGTGCTCTCCTTATTCTCCTATGGATGATGTTTATTGGATGTGGTTTGACCATTTATTGCATTCTTAGTCTAATTTTCACTCTTAACATCTCCTTCCAAAAATTGGCTTTTTGAAGACGCAGAACAATATGGTAATCTTTCAGAAAAACACCATAATTATGGAAGCGTACACGCAGTAGAAAAATTGCGTCAACCAATAGAAACATGGTATGCTATAAGTGAAAATTTGAACAAGAAATGAATCCTAATTTTGGAATAACGAATTGAGTTATAAATATGTTCATAAATTAGACGTTTGTTCTCCTACAAAGCCATACACTTATACAATCCTAGTCCGATTGCCCGGGCTGAGTAGGTTATTGATAATAGCTAGAGGTCGACCCGATCCGCTATTTTAGAACATGTGCTGTTTGCGAGTAGTTGCAGTTGTTGCAAATTTCTTGTCAATTTGGTACAAACAAACGTTCAGTTTTCAACTGGCCTTAAGTATAGATGTATAGGTCTGCTCTCATTCTATTGAATTGTATCAAATTGTGAATCAAGAATGCAATATGGCTCTTAGATAAAAGTGTTTTACAGTGAGCTACTTTGTATTATTTCGTGTGTTCTTTCCACGTTATGTGGATAGATTAAGATTGAAGGAGCAACTGTCACGCCTACTTTTTGTTCAAGAGTAGACGTGACAGTTTTATTGACAAAATATGTTTTTGTGGGAGCTAGCTTTTGTTCATTACCCCAGAGAATTACCCTATTAGCTGATCATTTTTTATATGTAACAGGAATGTAAAAAATCTTGGCCTTTGCGAGGGCGATCACGTTATTGTTCAGCGTGCGGGCGATGTTATTCCACAGGTGACGTACACAGTCTGATAAACTTTTTGACTTCTTTTTGGAAGAGAGCACTTCGTTTCCTGGTGTCTATGTGAGGAATAATCTGATTTGCCATAATATGTTGCAAGTTTTGATATGCTCAATTTGTTAATTTTGTCAATTGAGGACTTACCTTTGGGACGACGGCTGCCCTCGTAACAGGTAGTGCAAGCTCTAGTAGAGTTGAGACCAGTTGGAGCACAAACATGGTCATCTCCTACTCAGTGCCCTTCATGCGGTTCAGAACTAAAAGAAGAACCATCAAAGGCCATGGTCTTTTGCCAGAACGCCAATTGTCTGAGCAGACGTTCTCGTCAGGTCTAAATCCTCTTTTCAAAAGAAAAAAAACTTTGGTGTGATAATAATGTGGGTTTAGTTTCTTGTCAAGGGCTCTTAGTCTGTCTACATGTTTAAGTGTACACAATCACCAAGCTGATTAGTTGCTGTTTTAAATTTGCTAGTTTTTGTCTCTCAACTGGGTTGCTGAATTTGGTATCATCGTGTTTTGGAATAATTTTCAAGACAAAATATTCACCCTAGGTGTAGGTATTATTGCATAAATCTTGTATCGTAGTCCAAGGACAAATGTGTTGTGCTTTTAGAACTTACCTGAATGCTTCTGTACAGGTTGAACATTTTGCCAAGTCTCTCATTAATGGTTTGGGGCCTAAGATTCTTACTCAGCTGCAAGAAGAAGGATTGGTCGCAGATCCAGCCGATCTATATACTTTGAGTGAGGAAGCTCTGTCCAATGTTCCACGTTTCGGAAAGAAGAGTGCAAAGAAATTGCTCGGTGCAATTGAGGTATTAAAATTGCGTTAACAAACTAGTCTTGTGATCTTTTAGTTCAAAATTGCTGCCAGGCTTTAGAAGATCCTGTATGATATGTATGTATGTTTCTCCTTCAAACTTGAGTAGATGGCTCGGTGTCATGATTATGTCCCATTATTCGCAGTGATAAATATTATCAATCTTGGAGGTCACAAAAGATGTGGAATGAACTGATTGTTTTGAAAACAGGAAAGTAAACTGAAACAAGACTGGGAGTTCATAGCTGCACTAGGTATCCCAAGAGTTGGTGTAGGAATCTCGCGGCGCCTTGCAGAGCATTTTGGTGGGCTACAAGGCCTCCTTAGCGCAAGCGACGAGGACATACTGAGTGTTCCAGGTGTGCGTTTGGTTATCCCCAATTCAAAGCCACGAGATCACTATTCTATTTCCTTTTAAGTCGTAACGTCGTTGTAAGTGGTAGTTTTAACGACATGATTTGTTTTGCAGGAATTGGTGAACAAACTCTGAAGGCAGTCTTCGATTGGTGTCGCTGCGAATCCAACATCGGCCTGGTCAGCAAACTGCTAGCGGCTGGGTGTGCTCGTGCACCAAGTTACCTCCAGTCGCAAGGAGTCCTCAAATCCCTCAACATTGCTAACAACGCCAAGCAGGACAGTATCGGAATGGGAACTTATGATCAGCATGATGAAGATGTAGAAACTGTTGCCGGAAATGAGAACTCGGAAGAAAGCAGAGCAGCCGCTGAGCTGAATGTTAGTCAGCAAAAATTGCTTGGCAAGATCGTGGTGATAACGGGTAACTTTGGGTCCAAAGATCGAGAATACATGCAAGCGCTGGTGCGGTTGTATGGCGGGAAAGTTCGAAGTTCTGTAAGTATCGCTGGTTTTCCTCCCCGTCCTGCCTGTAGACTCGTTTTGTAAATAGATCCTCTCCCGAACCGAGTGGGTACAACCTTCTATAAATAAATATGGTTAAGGCCGTCAGATCCGTTGAAAACGCTAGTATCTTTCAAGCCGACATGCGAAAGCCTTTCCGACGACAGTTATTTTCAATCACTGTAGTAATGATGATTTGGTTCTCTTTGTATGCCATTCAGGTGACGTCTAAGACATCGTTCGTGCTTGCTGGAGAGAACCCTGGCGGGAACAAAATCTCAGCTTGTAAAGAGCTAGGCATCGAAATTTTGGACTGGGAGAAGTTTCAAAGTCTACTCGGAACCTCTTGAAGTCGTAAACTCAAAAGCAGGACCTCAAGTACACAGACTAGTTAATCAGAATCACATCACTCAGAGCTCATCATCACCGTCTTCCTCAAAAGTGGGGCAGGAAAAGCCAGCATGCGGGGTGAGCATTTGAAATCGGCATATTCAATAGCTGGACAGTATCGAAAGGCAATTGGCTGTGAAATGTTCTTCTAATTTTTATGTATACTGTGAATTGTCAAAAGTGGGAACTTCAACGGTTCACATTCAGATGAACTCTAGGCTCTTTGTCCTGATTGCAGAATTTCCCCTAGTTTCCACGTACATGAAAATGAAATTCTCGTGATGAAATTTGGGCACTTTGCATGGTTTGAATTGTTCCATTGAACTCATTTAGGTTGACTCATTTAAGAGTGTGCCCAAATAACTGCGCTCAGCGTGCTAATTTCGTTTTCATGCATCGCAAATCATAGGTTGACGGGACGAGCATCCCTGGTGACCTCACGACCAAGCTAGAAGCCCTCGAGGGATGTCAGCAGGTCGAGGAGAAGATGGACAGGGTACTGCGGTATGGATCATACATTTCTAGAATCTTGTGCTACTTGTGACATCCTACCGTTTTCTCTTTTGAGGGCATAACTCAGCAAAACGAACACCTGTTGGATGTAAGTACTGTTATATTTGTTGACAAAACAGTGGATGGCCGAAGTCAACTTGCGATGTTCTTTCCTGCTAATAGACATGCCCAGTAGATGAAGGTAAGGATGTTTATGTGACTACTACAATGTGCAGGTGTCACAATCTGTTCGGAGCCGGGCAACGGTTGGTTGGTACGGCCCTTAAATTTCTGGTGGGAATCAGTTGAAGATGTGTGCTGGCTGCATCTTCACACTATCCTTCTATTCTCCGGACATTTAGACATTTATCATCAACGAGGAGTCGTGTAACAAATTTAGAGGACCCTGCACACCATGCACTGTCTTCGTGTCATGGTGAAAATCATTCTTTAACTTTTTCAAATAAAACCAAGAATGTCTATTTCTCACGCAGTTGGAAAGTCGTCTAGAGTGTGAACATATTGATGTTTCAGATGATTAAAATTCTCAGCGAAGGAAACGGCAAAACGGTGAAGAGGCAAACAAAGTCGTGTACATAACCTCTAATGACCGACCTTTGTGGAGCCTCGAAAGACATAATACAGATAAAGACGTGACCAGAAGAACCTAGCGATTTAAATTAGAAAATTATTTGAGTTAATTATTGAAGTTTCAGTATCATGGAACCACGTGAAATGCAGCAAAGTAGTGAATCGAGGTCTGGACGGGAGTCTGAAATCAGGACGTTGGAAAGATTAGATTGTTTTGATCCGATGAGAGGCCCACTCACTCCACCAGTAGGAACCGGGGATAAAAGTCTTTGTGAGTATCGTACTCTTTTACCCCACCGTGCAGGCTTCTCTCTTTCATGGGGGGCGCTTTTATGAGCACGACCCAGTGGTCTAAAGCTTGCACCGCCCATCGTGCACCAACTGTCCAACGAGTTTGTTGGCAGGCACTAGCCTGTAGGTACTACGTTGGGATTTTTGAGTAAAAGCACTCCCTGTTTGCGTGTAAGAGGAGAAAAGAAAGGTACAGCACATTGTCTGATCACGTGCAAGATATCCGAGGCTGCGAAGAGCCTTTTAGTCAGAGAGGGGGAAAGCTATGACATCAGAGCGATCAGAGGAAGTTCCCATGGCACTTTACAAGGCCGGAACTCTGTCCTCATCTCACCGCTGCACACGTGCAAAACGCAGGGCAGGGTGCAGAGCGGGATTCTGGCAACGTTTCTGCCCTGCTCTTAATCCTGTCCTTCAGTTTTGCTACTCATGACTGAGTGTAGAGGACTGGACTGGATCAGTGACGAGCAGCTGATCGTTCCACTGGTTGGGACATTCTCCCTCTTCTGGCGCCGAGCATTCCCCTTTGATCTTCCTGTCGTCTTAGCGTTAGCTAGCAGCTTCCTTCCGCATGAGGGAGGAGGGTTGAGGCAGGCCAGCATGTAGTGCGTTGAAAGTTGAAACCTTCAATCTTATTATGAGCTTGCATGTAAAGCAATTATGACAACCGAGCAGACCGGGGGTCAGACTGGGGAATGCTGGACATGCTAGTAGCACCTCATGAACATGTGATGATCTGAATGTTTTCCCACTTGATAGTGAGAATAAGGTTCCTCGATAACATTCAACCACATAAAAGTTAAACTCATGGAGAGGATTGACGGCCAGAGTTACTACGGTGAATTGTAAATCATGCGGCATTCACGGTATGACTGATGCCAGCAGTTTGATATCACTCACCAGTTGATGCCAATCAGGATAACTGCTCCAGGTGATCAGGAGCTGCAGGTGTTGTTTCTGGAGGGCAGGTGGTGCGGAAGATGGTGGTCGAATCAGGAAGTAGATTCCTGGCGGGAAGAGAGGGAAACTATCTGAGATCATGTTGAAGTTGACAGCAATGAGGATTCTCTTGCATTTACTCCCATCTTGCAGAAAGACAAAGATGACCAACCTTTACGTTCCGATGGAAAGTTGATGGATACCTTATGGATAGCTCACCTTCAGACAATCAGGTCGGATAGCTACAGGAGTGACCCCTTTTTCAGCTCAAAAGTTCTCGCACGATCTCCTCTGGTGTCGGACTGGACTCGTAGTCTCCTAAAGCTGATGATTTAGATCAAAGAAATCTGCCAAAGAAATCTGTCAGGCCACTCAGGTACGTGTATGATCACCAAGATACAAACGGCTGCAGCTGCAGCTCTTCTTGCTCCATCTGATCATCCACCACTTTTTCCAGGCTCCAGGCGACGAGACCATTAAATGAAAAGGTGACCTTCTTTCAAATTTACAAGCTTTCAAAACGCCCACAACCGACTGTTGGAATACTTTCCTCAGCATAACTCTTCAGATTTCTGATAGTCCCACGTCGGTTGGTGCGTATCAGGGTAGTTACATGAGATGCTATGATCAATTCAACATCGAAAGGTCTTGGAACTTGGTTAGGAGGTGCTAAGGCGTGGGCTGTGGCAGTTCTCTGCAGGATGTTGATGTCCTTGATTCAATGAGATACAACTTTCACCATAGTGTAGGAATTATTATACTAGTAATCAGTCAAGATCGATTGGTGTCAGGGTCAGGACCTTCATCCCGGCGTCTGACAAGTGAGACATCATGGCTTTCAGACCAGATGACACAGTTTGAATAGACTGCTGCTATGAGGAATCTTCTCCATATCCTGCAAACGGCTCCGTGTTAGGCTACCTTAGATCCCCCGCTATCAATCAACTTGGTCTGGACAGGTTTGCGAAGACGACAGCCCAAGTCGATGAGGATTTGGTGTATGGAGCGCATGCAGTCAATCTGAATCGTGTTGGTGGTACAAACACGGACGAGGTCAGTGGAGATCCTGAATAAACCAGTCTGCATGTCAAAGTGACGAGCAACGTAACGTGCAAGCTGCGAACATGGTGATCGATGATTTCTGAAGCGACTGTCATGGAAAAACTATCCGATAATGCTGTCATGAAACTCGAGCAAGTGCATTCAATGAAGGCTGTATGCCTTCTAAGAAATAAACGATGATGAAATCAAGTTGGCAGCTCGGCCCTCCGTTGAGAGGAGGCCAGATAAAGCTCCTCTGTCAAAGCCTTGGCAGAAAGGTGAATCTTAAAAGACTTCACCTTCTTCCCCCGCGAATATCACAAATGAACATAATATCGGATGTAACTTCGGATTCGGGTCGGATGTAACTTCAGTTGCCCAGTTCTTTCATTGTGTTTGTGCTTGTATGTAGAGCCTTGGCAAGATATAGACAAGTAAATATTCACCAACGGGGACTCTTCTTCTTCTGTGGATACTCTGACTCTCGAGCTTTAGAAGTCTTTTATGGAAGAAGCTTGATCACTAGGGTTGCCGTCAGTCTCGTGAAGTTCATCGAGTAAGAGCAGATTCGATAAGCCTGATCACTAACCCACTGCGAGTATCTCAAATCAACTATACTGAAATGGATCAATTGCATCAGAATATTCCACAGCACCCTGAACTAATTTCAAGACTCACAAAGTGTGTTGAAGGTTTAGAACGAGTGGATCTAAGTAATCTGTTGACTCTCGGCTTTTGCCACCAAACTCATGAAAAGTTGTGTTTGATCAAACTGGAGGATACACATCAGATTCTAACGCAACCTTCACTTTGTCGCAGACTTTGTGAACCCTGAGCTAGAATGGAAAATGATTGCCGAAGTCAAATCGATCACAAAGATCATCGACTTATTCCCCAACACTTGGAGACAATGGTCACGCATTGCATTGGCATCAATCATCAGCGAACAGCACTTGCAGAACCAAATCAAAAGCCCCGACGGAATCAACTGCACTTTACGCTTCTCCGAAAGAGGTGGAGGATTCTCCTCCTCCTCCTCCTCACCATCATCATAACCATAACCATGATGACTTCATTGCATGATGCTGAATTTTGATCCAAAACCAAATATACAGATCCTCGCTCTCCCTCCACAGCTCTCTCTCTCAATCACTCGACGAAAGAAGAAAGAGGAACGTATTATATCTGATACAGCTCGTGGGATATGGTTCCCCATAACAATTGGCTCCTTGGACAGCATAATCTCACCTTTCCAACTGCAAACTGTCCTCCGTTGTCTTCCATGGGCAGGAGTTCGAGCATCAAAATCTTCGCTTCGCAGTGGGACTGAGCTTCTCATGGTTCGACGCACGAGGTGGTAACCAACGTCTTCAAATTCCCCCCTGGCCCCCAAGTTGGATGGGTTTTGGTTTGCCTTGGTTTCGACAAATATGGTCGCAGTGATGAGTGATGTCACATTTCATTTCAGAGGATTTTTTATCGCTTTGAATGGTTCGAGTTAATTTCCAAATCCCAAAGGCATGATGTTTCGTGCATTGAGTTCTGCATCCTTCGAGCAGTCGTCTGCATGTGCTTGATCATGTTTCTCGTGACAAGCTATGCTTTAATTTCGTCGTGCGTACACTCTTCATGGCCATTATTTGATTTTCGTCTCAAAACGTTCAATGACTAGGCACATGTGTGTTTCTTTCATGGCTAACGCTGACCGATTGTGTATAAGATCATCGACTTAGAATGCGTAGTAATATGTATGAGCGTGTAGATATTATTTTCTATCTACAGAAAATTATATTTTGATATTGGTTGAAGATGTTTTTTTTTAATTCATTGTATATTGAGGATCTTTTCATTATTTATCGAATTCATGACGAGTAAACACATTCGAAATCCACACAATGCTAGAAATTAAATTCAGCTGAATCGTATGGATTTTTCCAAATCTTGAGATAGATAATCGTTTGATATGAGAATGATGACAGGTTTGTTGAAAAAAAATTCATATTTTCGATTTGATCTCAATACGTTAAAAAATTGGATTGATTAATTTATTTGTAAAAAAATTGAAAAATACAGGCTTTCTCATAAACTTATTAAAATGTAAAGATATGATTTTATAATAGGTTGATGCTAGGAGAACAATTAAATTAACTTTACATATAGTCTTGTTCTTGAGACGAGTTCTTGAAACTTGTTGTTAATCCACAATTCATTTGAAAGAATTTTGCAAGTTGAATAATTAAAATTAATTATTTTTTTACTTATTTATGTTGACTTACAATGTTGCATTGATATCATTTCATTTTAAAAATGCTCAAGCATGAGATTGTGAATTGAACTCCAATATTTTCTGAAATAAATCAATTTTCATTCACTTTTCTTTTGTTTCATGTGACCAATATTCTATTATGAAAAATTTTTGAACCTTAAAATTTCAATCGTCCACATTTTTTCAAATTTTTTGATAATTGATCATTGTTAGATTTTTTTGAAAAAAAATCAAACCTCAAGATATTTCACATAATTTTTGTTAACATCAAATACAATATAACACTCTATGCTGATCCAGGTGTATCAATCTTGTTATAACTCTACTTTGTTGCTTCAATCAATGCAGAATTTATAAAATATCA